AATATTGACTATAAATTCTGTCTACATCAGGTAATACTGCCTATAAATTCTGTCTACATCATCACAATTAAGTTTCTTTGTGCTCCACACAAAGCAGTTTCCCCCTCACAGCTCAGGTACTCTTGGAGATCCCATCTCACAGAAGCTGCCCCTGGAAGCACATGGAAAGGACCCAGGAGGGTGGAGGGAGTTGCCTCAGGGTGTGCAGGGGGTTTGGCTGCTGAGGTTTTGTTTCCTGCAGTAATTCAGTGGTTACATGGCCCTGTTGTTGTGCATTCCTGAGGTCTCTGTGGTGTAAATTGATTTCAAGGTCACTTCCTAGAAAACCTTGCCAAGGAGAAACAGGAGTAGCTGTTAGAGAGATCCTGCCCTGGCCATGTCCCGTGGCTCCTGCAGGAGCAGCAGTGACACAGCTCCTGAGGTGGAGGGCAGGAGCACTCTGGCACTGTCAGGATCTCTGACACCTGGGGTGTGCAGGGCTTGCAGAGGGCCCTGCTCTGCAGGGGAAGGGGCTGAGCAGGTGGAGTGGGGGGTGGAAAGGAGGGTAATTTCCTCTTTTCTCTGTGGCTGTGAGGCTTTAGAATGGCGTTTTTGGGGTTTGACGCTTGTGGATTTGTATAATTTGGTCTTGTTTGGCATGTGGCTGGCCTTTGGAGTACTGTCTTCTCACAGATGTGGGGTTTGTACTGGTTCCTGAGGATTTAGCCAGCAGTCCAGAACACTTCCAAGCATGGCTTCTTGCATTGATCTCAAGCTCTCCTCTCACAAGCTGATTTTCACTTTTCAGTGTTGGTGCATAACCCATTTGGGATGGATATTTACCAGAGCAGGTAAAACCACTTGGATGTATTTCCCAGGAGAGCACAGGACAAAAGCTTGGTCAGAGCACTCTGCAGATTACACAGTCAGCTGTATCACTGTTAATGATTGCTCCTTGTAATTAATCATTTGGCAGCTTCAGTGGCACTAAGGGATCTTTGTTGGGATGCAGAGGTCACTGTCACCAGTTGGAAACATCCTCATCCTAGTTTGGGCTCTCTTCAGTGTGAAAGGAAAATCTGACACTATTGAACCTTTGAGATCTTTAACTTTCCTGCATGTTTTAACTTTTCAGCTAGAAATTGTTTCACTGGGTTTTTTTTCATTTAATTTCTTCTTTGTTGAATTTTTTCATTCCAATGAACTGAGTCTAAATGCTTTTTTTTTTTTTTTAATGTTTAGATGCACCCAAAATAATTGGTTATAGTTCTAAGCAAACGATGAGTTCAAACAGATTCCAGGTCCGTCTGTCTTCACTCAGCCCTCTTGTGAAATTGAATGTGTAATTTCAGTTTCAGGACTGCAGGGATTTAAATGACTCTTGGAACTGTTGGTCACAGTCCACTACAACAAAAGCACTGATTTTTGCAACAATTCTTTTGTCAGAAATCTGTGGAAAACCAACTTGATTCAGGGAAGGACACTGGTCCTGAGCCAGCACCTCTCGTGGAATGGTTGGTTTGGGTATGAGGTGTTAATCCCAGTGGGGTTTACAGGAAGGGAGGGAGTGGCTTCATGGCAGCATTAATTTTAGTATATATATATTTGTTATATATCTGATTCTGATGTTATATATCTGATTGGAGACTTTAGTCATCCCAGTGTCAGTCTGAAGTGCAATCCCACAGTAGGGCTTTAACACCCAGTGCTGGCACAACACTGCTGTTGTTCCTTCTGGGAAAGGAGAGGCACAGAAGGGAGAGACAAAGCCTAGTTCCCGTATCCTGCTCAGTGCAGAGTTCCTGCAGGAAGGAGCTGAAAGAGCAAGTGCAGGCAGCCAAAGCATTAAAACAATTAATACTAAATACTCTGTGCCTTTCATTTCTCTGGGATGTTCTGTTGTCCACCTTGGACTCTGCAGAATCCCAGAGGAGGAGACATAACAGCTTTGTGATGGCTTGAAAAAAATCAAGTATTTCTCTGTCTTTCTAAGCTCCCTCAGTTTCCCTGTTGCAGCAAAGGGCTGTTGCACAGAGAGCAGGATTTTGCTAAGAGGATTCCTGGGTGCAGGAATGGGCTGCTCTCTGCTCAGCTCAGTCTGCAGGGATGGAAAGTCTGGGTGCTCAGGGAACAGCTTTGCTGTGACTGCAGCGTGGGGCTTCAGCTGTCCTTCATGTGATCTCAGGCATCTTCCCTGCTGTATTTTTAGAGCTGTTGTGCAAAGAAGATTAGCAAAGGACTTAATATCGATGTGGATATGGATTCTTTGTCAAATATGGCAGTGTTCCCCCTATTTAGGCAATGTGTTTGGGCTCGTGTCACAGTTATATCACCAGGCTGTGCCCTGCCATGTGCCTCTGCCCTGGCTTCTTTTCCTGCTCCAGATGTTGTTTAGCTGACTGAAAAAGTGGCTGCACTCTTAGTCCTGATCTTAGTTTTGCTGGATCTAATGACAGTTTATTAGGGAGCCTGCTTCCAGCTGGATCAAGTCCATAGTTAGTGGAGAAAGAAGCAGCTGGGAGTTGAGATCCAGTGGTTTACCTTCAGGAGGGAGCCACAGGCACCTGCCTGCAGTGGTGATTTCAGACTGGCTCTTGTGGTCCCTCCATGGTGAGGGGGCACTTACAGGTGAAGTTGTTCAAGTGAGGCTTTTGGAGGGTCCTGGTCCCACTAGAACAGCTCTTGTTTGTCTGGAAATTCCCTCAAATGTTCCTGGCACAGCAGCACCCCTGAAAGGGCAGAATCACAGAATAATTTGGGTGGGAAGAGACCTTAAAAGCCCATCCAGTCCCACCCATCCCCCTGCCATGGGCAGGGACACCTTTTACTGTCCCAGGCTGCTCCAAGCCCCATCCAACCTGGCCTTGGGCACTGCCAGGGATCCAGGGGCAGCCACAGCTGCTCTGGGCACCCTGTGCTAGGGCCTCAACACCCTCACAGGGAAGAATTTCTTCCTAACATCTGCTTTAAGGGTTTCCTCTTTTAGTTTAAAACCCTTTCCCATTGTCCCATCAAACTGTCCACCCTTGCTGTGGAGTTGATGGAGGCAGCATTCTCTCAGGGAAGGGCTTTCAGTGACACTTCTTGCAAGTGTGTTGAGGGCACAGGTATGGAGTGACATGGGACAGATTGCCCGAAACCAGTTGCTAAATATTCTGGTATTCCAGTGACCTCTGAAGGTGTTCTCAGCATGCACTGCCCAAGCACTCAGGACTCCAGTAACTTAGAATGAGTGGCCTGAGGAGATACATTTGGTGTGTGCTGGAACAGAAGAGACCAGCAAGGTGAAGACTTTGGCCTCAGGATAGCCCTGGATGGTGGTTTGGAGTGTGGTGGGTTGGGACAGGGCAGGTGGAAGCACAAATAGGGAGTGTTGACTCTGCCTGAGCAGATGAATGGGCTGGTGAGTGCAGGGAGGAGAGCAGGTACTGAGGTGTGCAGGCCTCCTGCCAGGTGGCCCTGGAGCAAAGGGCACCAGGAGAGCATGGCTGGGAGTGTCCTGTGGCAATGCCTGACACAGATCCATGAACTCCCATCCTAACAAATTCAGCTGCTCAAAGCAGTGAGTGTGCTTCTCTTGGCTGGAGCCAGGTGGGTCTGTGTTGGAAACAGTCACCACGGGAATTTTGGATTTATCTAAACTGCTTTGGTTATTGCTGTGATGAGGAGTGAAAAGCACAGGTAGAAGAACATGAGAAAAGTTCTCTAAGAAGTGTGGCAAAGCAAGCAGGACGTTGCTGAGGGACTGGGAGAGCAGGGTTTCAAACCTGCCTGCTCTGTTCTGGCCAGGACTCCAGCTGGCAGCTGCCTGCACTTCCCTCCTGATACTGGAGCAACTTGATAATCTGAAATAGCTCCTTTCTCGTCCAGAGGGCCGGGAGCAGGAGATCTGGAATGTGTCCTTAAGTGCCTGGGCTATTTTGGGAGCAGGGACATGAATCTGTGCAGGGGCATCCAGGCTTTGCATGGCTGTGCTAACGGGGAGCTGACAGCCCAGCCCAGCTCCAGCATCGGCACATCAGGGTTTGCTTTTGGGGCAGAGAACTCATGGATGTTTTAATTTTTCTGTGCTGTGTAAAATGGTGGTGTCTTCTGGAAGGTGAGAAGATGACAGCAGTCCCTAGAGGAATTGCCTTGGAAAGATGACAGAAACATCTTAGGATGGAAATGTGGAGCTCTGAGAGTCCAGTGGAAGGAGAGCACAGGTTCTCTTCCTGGACCAGCTGCAGTGGAGTTCTGGGCAGCTTGTGCAGCTGCCACATATTTGCAACAGCAGCACAACATGCAAGAGGTTTTTCAGAAATCCAAGGAAAACATTCCATCCTGCAAACATCTTAGAATATAGTAAGAGATGAAGAAGTTAGGGCAGGAGCAGCAGCAGTAGGTACTGCTCATGCAAGTTAACTTCTCTGCAAGTGCCAGGGAAGAGTGGATTTCTGCTAGAGCTGCTAAAGAAGCTTGGAGAAAGAGCTTTTCACAGGGATGTGCTAATAGAACAGGGAACATTTCAGAGCCAGGACAGAGTTGGTTTAGAAATGGATAAATTGAGGCAAAGTGAGTAGCCAGTAATTGGTGTCTTACCCTTGATAGTTTAGGGCAACAAGAACTGTTTGGCACATCACGTTTTAAGGCTTCATACAGACAGTATTGACCCAGAGATTATAATATTCCAGTCTTTAGCCAGCAGAAATCAGCAGAGCTCTGTTTGCTTTTGCTAGTTAGGAGCTTCCTGATGTTGAAGTGATGATTCTCTTCCTAGTATTCTTCAAGGACAGGATTCTGTTTCTACTTCATGTGTGAAGGGAAAGTTATGTTAGGACATGTTTGGCTGGTGACTGACGTGGTGCTGTCCCTGCTTGTACCTACTCTGCTTTAACTTCACCTCTGAGGAAACTGGGGAAAACTCCAGGCTTCAGGGGGGTCTGTTTTGTTAGACTTTCACTGTGAGGGAATCAATTAATTCAGAAACAGTTAAAATTGATTTACCCAGAAGCTGAAATTTACTTTATTTTCCCTTCTAGGCCTACGAGAAACGCTTTCCTACGTGCCCAGAGATCCCAGTCTTCCTGGGGAGTGAAATCCTGCACGAATCCAGGAGTGAGGACGGAGCCATCCACGTCATTGAGCGGAGCTGCAAGCTGAACGTGGACGCTCCCAGGCTGCTGAAGAAGGCAGGTGGAGCCTTGGGAGCAGAGAGGCCTGCATTCTGTGGGCTGGCTCAGATAGCTAAAGGCTCCTAGATAGATAAAGTTACTCTTGTCTCTCTGTGTTTCTCCCTCCTCTTCAGATTGCAGGGGTGGAGCATGTGTTCTTCATCCAGAAGAACACGGTGAACTGGAGAGAGCGAACGCTGCGCATCGAGGCCCACAACGAGACCTTTGCCAACCGGGTGGTGGTCAGGGAGACCTGCAGCTACTCAGTGAGAGCTCTGCTGGGGCTGGCTGTGCTGGGAGGGGGCAACTGTGCACCCACACACTGGGGAAGGTGTCTGAGTGGCTTTGAGCACCCCTGCAACAATGGGATTAGAGACTCTGGGGCTGGAAAGGCTGTTGGGTCCTGAGTGTGGCATTGTTCAATTGCTTTGGAGAGACAAGACCAGGAGGAATGGCTTCCCACAGACAAATTGGACATTAGGAAGGAATTCTTCCCTGGCAGGGTGGGCAGGCCCTGGCACAGGGTGCCCAGAGCAGCTGGGGCTGCCCCTGGATCCCTGGCAATGCCCAAGGCCAGGCTGGGCAGGGCTGGGAGCAGCCTGGGATAGTGGAATTTGTTCCTGCCCTGGAGGGGTGGAACTATTTGGGCTTTAAGGTCTTGATGATCTTAAAGGTCTCTTCCAACCTAGTGATTCTGTGCGTCCATCCAAACCATTCTGTGGTTTCATAAGGCTTGAGAAACTTCTTCAGGTTGATTGTGATTCCCTGCTTGGAGTGAAAGTGGGAAACAGAATTGGTACTCCAGAACTGCTGGTGTTCCCTCAGTTTCTTTTTGATTGAAATTCAGGCTGACAAAAACATCTGGAGCTTGGGCATGTCTATAAATCTGGATGTCCAGAATTAAACCCTTACTGTTCATTATTATAATGGCCTGAGCGAAGCCTGACAATTGATTTTGCACACAAAGAAGTGAAAGTTTTAGCACCTTGTTTGTCATTATTTTCTTGCTCTAAAGATTTGGAGAAAGGACTTGAGCCTTATTTGTGGCCAGGGCTGTCTGCCTGTGTGGCTGTTTCTGTGCTGTTTCACTGCAGTGCTGCTCTGAGGGCCCAGCCTCCATGAAATAGCTCAGGTGTTTCTGGAAGCAATCAGATCCTGCTTGTCTTTCCTTACACAAATGTCCAGCTCCTGTTACTTACCTGCCCTTTTGGCAACTGGACAGCAGCTCAGCTTCTTGGGAGGAAACAGGCTGTGAGGAGCTTCAGGAAGAGGAGGAGTGGAAAAGCTGTGAACATTTTGGATGGTGAGGGTGTTCCTGGGCCAGAGATCCCTTGGTGGCTGCAGAAGGCCACCTAAAAACTGCCTAAAGCATCCTAAAAACTGCTGTAATTTAAACTTCCATCATCATTAAAGGCACTGACAGGTCTGAAATGCTCCCAGGTCAGCTCTGAGTTTGTTACACTTGCCAATTTTGGCTTAGGAAGGAAATGTCAGCATCTGGGCTTTGAGGGGAACAGGGTGGGAGCTGCTGGCTGCATCCTCAAGATGGTTCCCTGCTCTATTTTTACCAGTTCCCTTTTCCCTGCCAGAGTGCACCGGAAGCAGGTTTATTCTCATCTTTCCTTTTCTGCAGCCTTCTCTGAGGCAACTTGGAGAAATATGATCCTGCTCCTGCAGTTACTTAATATCTCCCCAGGGAATTTGTCTTTCATGGTATCTCTGTGTGGGGGCTGGAGTTGTTTTTCTTCCCTGTCAGTTTGTGAACAGCAGCACCTGAAGAGAGGAGGCAGAGCCTTCTCAGGAAAGGGTTAAGTTTAAAAGAGGGAAGGATTCTACCATATATAGAGCAACAGAGGGGAAATAAGGGAAAGGTTTGTGTTGAGCTGAAGAGTGGGGAAGCTCCCTGCTCTGCCATGTCCCCAGTGTTTTGGGGAGAAGGCTGATGTTAGTGGCTGAGTCTCCCATCCGAAACTAAAACAGAAACCTGGTTTGCATTTTTCTTCTTTGCAGGTGTAGGAGTTTTAATTGCATGTTCCACAAGGCCATCCCTGTCTTTCCATAAGGACACCTTGACATGATGGCTTGATGTGGGCAGTTCCACTGCTCTTTTTGTGCAGCTTTTGCTACTACAGTTCAGGTCTGCTGGGGCAGGGATGGGTTTAAATCTTGATTTCCTTGTGCACATGAAGAATATTGGGTTAGCAAAAGTCTGGATGTCCAGTTCACAAAGGGTTCTCAGCAGGGGAATGAACCTGGCTGGTGACTCCAGGTGTGGCAGTGCCTCCTCTGCCCCCTCTCTGGGGCTGTGGAGGTTGAACAGCCAGTGAGGTGCCAGGGCCATGAGCCATCTGCCTCCATCCCTCCTGTGTTGTGTTCCCCTGGCTGCAGGTTCACCCTGAGAATGAAGAGTGGACCTGCTTTGAGCAGTCAGCCTCTCTCGACATCAAATCCTTTTTTGGCTTTGAAAGCACTGTGGAAAAAATTGCCATGAAGCAGTACACCTCCAACATCAAACGGGTAAGGTGGCCTTCCCTGGCTGCCCCTGGGCTCTCCTGGCTGCCCCTGGGCTCTCCTGGCTGCCCCTGGGCTCTCCTGGCTGCCCCTGGGCTCTCCTGGCTGCCCCTGGGCTCTCCTGGCTGCCCCTGGGCTCTCCTGGCTGCCCCTGGGCTCTCCTGGCTGCCCCTGGGCTCTCCTGGCTGCCCCTGGGCTCTCCTGGCTGCCCCTGGGCTCTCCTGGCTGCCCCTGGGCTCTCCTGGCTGCCCCTGGGCTTCCCTGGCTGCCTGAGCACCCAGACCCTCTGTTTGCCTTTCTGTAAACAGACCCAATGGAGCTTTGTGCCCTTGCTTGTGGCTCTGGAGTCCCTCAGGTGGGCAAAGGAAGGCAAAGAGCCCAGAGCAGAGCAGAGCTGGCTGGAATGTGGCTGTGCAGGGATGGAGCAGGCTCTGCCAGGGGAGCAGGGCACTGGGTGCTGTGAGTGCAGGGCTGCTGGACACTGAGAACACTCTTCTTGTGCAGGAAGAGAAAGTCCTGGGTGGAAAACACCCCCCTGTGTCTCCAGAGCTTGGGCTTGGGACAGTGGCTCTGTGTGCAGAGGAGCAGGGCAGCTAATTGGGTTTGGGAGCAGGAGGATGGGGTAAAAGTGGTAGAAAGGCAGCTGCATCCATAACTGGGATTTGCCTGCCATTATTGTAATTCATCATTCACAGGAGGCTTTGATACTGGAGGTTTTTTGACAGGATCATGGGGATGGAAGGACAGATTTCCCCTCCGTTTATCCTTAGCAGCATTCATCATCTGTCCTGAGGAAACTCCAGTGCCTCGCTGGCTCTGGAGGAGGCTTTTTCCTAACGAGAGTTCTCCCCTTCAGGGCAAGGAGGTGATTGAGCACTACCTGAAGGAGCTGATCTCCCAGGGGATCACGTTCATCCCTCGCTGGAGCCCTCCCGCGGTGGAGGAGGAGGAGCGAGCCCCGGCGCTGGGACGCGCCCCCGGTGCCATCCTGCAGGAATCCGGGGCTGCTGGCACCAGCCGGGAGCCGCCTGCCAGCCCCTGCCCGCCCCCGGAGGCTGCCAGCCCCGACGGTAGGCACTGCAGCTCTCACTCAGCAGCACTGACCCAGCAGCTTATTTTCATTTCTCTTAGCATCAGCTTTTTCATCTGGAGTGTGGGGGAGCAGGAGGAGGAGGAGGAGGAGGGAAAGCTGTTTTCTTTTTTCAAGGAAAATAAACAATGGAACTTTTTTTCCCCTAAAACAAAAAAGCTGTGCAGGCAGAATGTTTTGGAGCTTAGAAAAAAATGAGGTTTGATCAGCCCTTTAAGGTATTTTATACTTGAAACTAGAGAAGGTGTCTTCAGTATGCTGGAATTAAATATTTTATCTGTTCCAAAATTCATATTCTTGGGGACAGGTTTGGATGGTTTTTGGCCCTGTATTAGGCCAAGACAAACTTGAGGAATGTCTCCTAATGCATTTTTCCCACAAAATCCCTGAATCAAACTTTATCTTTCCGTGTGTTGGTCTGATGATATTTTCTAGACTAAATAAAATACTTCTCTGGCAAAAAGAAATAGGAGGGACCTTTGAATCCAGAGTTGTTGTAATAGAAACAGTTGCTGTCCTTCCTGAGAAGGAAAGGCAGCACTTGTTTTGTTGAGTGTAACTAGGCAAAAAGCTTGGGATTTGGAAATGTCAGTAGTTCTGCTCTCACCTGACATTCTCTGGGAGCTTTTCTGAAAAAAGATGGGAATCCACAGAGAAGCTGATTAGCAGCAATGTTTGAGATGAATGTTGTCCTCAGAGTGGTGGGTCCCAGCTAGCAGAAGAGCAGAGTAGCCCTTATTTTTCTGCCCATATTCCTGCTCAGGACAGGATTAGCTCCCCTGGGCCTGCTCCCCACCTTGCTAGCTCTGGGGGTTCCATGGGATGTCTCACTTCCAAATGCAATTTCTGTTATCCTGCTTATCCTGTGGGTGTCCAGGCCTCCTTCTGTAGGTGATGGCATCTACTGGAACTTGTGCCTGACAAAGAGCCAGCTCTGAGGTGTCCCCAGCCCTGTCCCTGTGTCTTCCACCCCAGCTGCTGCCTGGGCTGCTCCCCCCAGCTGCCCTGTTCTGCTGGCTGGCAGCTGCCAGCCCTGGGTGACACCTCCCTCTGTCACATCCCTCTGTCCCTCGGTGCTGGCAGTCACCAACCCCTTGTCCTTTGTCTCTGAGCTGGAGGAGCTGCCTGGTGTGCACAGGACTTCTCCTCCTGCCAGAATCCTCCCTGGCTGTCAGAAATGTGCTGTTGTTCTCCCTTAGTCTCTGGTGTCCCTGGGCAGAATGATGGCTTGGTTTCCCAGCAAGCCACTTGCCACTTGCAAGCCACTTGCAGTTGTGCATGAGATTTAGGACACGTGGAGATGGAAGTGCCCAGGTCTTGGAGTGGTTGGTGAGCTGAGTGCCAGAGCTCATGACAGATCTTTTAAAGCTCCTGCTGAAGCAATTCAGGGCTGAATGGAATATTGGAGGCAGAGCCAGGTGGGGTGATCCAGCTGTGACACAGCCCATGCTGCCATGGCCTCGTGCCCCAGTCACCAGGAGAGTGTCCTTCCATCCCTCCCTCAGGCTGCTGGGATGAGGCTTCTGAGCAAATCCCATGTAAACCATAGGGAGCCCAGTGTACAGAAGCACATGCTCCCCTCCCTGCTGGCTGTGCCAGTGTGCTCTGAACTGTTGTTTCCCCTGCAGGTGACAAGCTGGACGCTGATTACATCGAGCGCTACCTGGGCCAGCTGACCCCGCTGCAGGAGAGCTGCCTGATCCGCCTGCGCCAGTGGCTCCAGGAGACCCACAAGGGCAAGGTGGGTAGGGCACTGAGGGGCATCCCCAGCTGGGATGGGGAACCCTGGGTGCACAAACACACAGAGAGGCTGCAGTGTGACACCACGGGAAGGGACCTGGGGGTCCTGGTGGATGTTGAGCTGAGCATGAGGCAGCCCTGGCAGCCCAAAGGGTCACTGAGGGCACTGTCCTGCTCTGCTCTGTCCTGGACACCACAGTATCAGAAGGTTCTAAAACTGTCAGAAAGTGTCCAAAGGAGGAACATGAGGGTGGGGAAGGGTCTCAAGGGGAAGCCATAGGAGGAGCAGCTGAGGGCACTTGGCCTGTTCAGCTGGAGGAGAGAAGATGGAGCACAGAGTTCACTGGGGCTGCAGCTCCTCCTGAGGGGCAGCTCCAATCTCTGCTCTCTGTGACCAGGGACAGGGCCCAGGGAATGGCTGGAGCTGGGCCAGGGCACATTTAGGTTGGAGATCAGGAAAGGTTCTTCCTCCAGAGGGTGCTGGCACTGCCCAGGCTCCCCAGGGAATGGGCACAGCCCCAGAATGGGCTGCCAGAGCTCCAGGAGTGTTTGGACAGCACTGCCAGGGATGCCCAGGGTGGGATTGTTGGGGTGTCTGTGCAGGGCCAGGGGCTGGGCTGGGTGATCCTTGTGGGTCACTTCCTGCTCAAGGATATTCCATGCTTCTCTGATATTTCCCTGAGAAGCAGCAGGAGCACTGAGGGTGTCTCTGCTCTGCTGGAATGTCCTGGGCTCCTTCTGGTTAAAGGAAAGTCTCTGTCAGACCAGCAGGGTAACTTATCTGTGCCTGGGAAAAGAAAGGGTCTAGAGCAGCTTGAATGCCTCAAATGGGGTTTAACTGCAGATTTCCTGATGGAGAGGGATTAGGAGGGAAGGAAAGAAGGACCAAGGATAGCACCAGAGAGAGTAGTTGGGTGGGCTGAGTAGATAAAGGATGCTCAGGAAGAGGAGCAGGTGATCCTGCTTGGAAGCAGAGAACAGCTGGATGAGGTTTCAACAGTAAAAGCTTCCTGGCTTAGAAGGAATCAGCTCAGTCAGTCAGGATGGGTTAGGTGAGCTATTCTGCATTCCTGGCTTTGGGAAGATTTTCATTCTTTTTCCTTTACCTGGCCTTTCCAAAAGACACTGCTGCTTATAAGGAGCTTTGCCAGCCCTGCGTGCTGTGCTGTATGTCTCAGAGCTGAGCATGTCTCATCTGAGTGCAGGGAGTCTGAGCATGATTTAGAATGCTGTTTTCTCTTGGAAAAGTGAATGTGAATCACCTCTGTAGAAATAAAATGTAACAAAGATTTAGTGCTATTGTTCTGCTGCTGTAGAACTCCTGAAGTTCCCTTGTGTGTGAGCAGGCACGTGGGTTTTGTTGGTACCCAGCAATGTGGATGGAGAAACAGCTCCCAGCAAACCTCACTGTGAAGAGAGCAGGAGGTGTTGGGGCAGTGTGAGAGGCTCCCAGCAGCTGATAAGCTCCAGACACCAACAGTGCTGTTGAATTGTAAGAGCAGATAAATTCCCACCTCCAAACATCTGCCAGAGCTGGCCAAGGCCACTGGTGTACAGTGGCATCAACAGCAGCTTGGATACCTTGGGCAGAAGGGTGGGGGCTGCTGGAGGCAATAGAGACTGCAGGAATAGATGTGTGATATATAATATATTGTATAGATACACACCTGATGTAGCAAAGGGCCCCTTGAAGGGCTGTGCCACCTCCCTGGCAGCTGCTCTTGTGTCCCTGTGATGCTCTGCCCCTGAGGAAGGAGCTGGGGCTGGTGAGTGAGCTGTGTGAGCAGGAGCAGAAAAGGGGCTCTGCTGGAAACTGCTTTTGATCTGTGTCTGTATGTGATCCAGCCTCCAGGCAGATGAGAGGCCCTGGACAGGCAGGGACAGTCCCCAGGTGTGAGTGTGCTCTCAGAGAGGACAGGAGGCTTTTCATGGAGCCCTGAACAGTGAAGTGGTGTGGGCTCCACTGGGGTAGGAGAGATCTCACCTAGTGGGTCCTGGATGGGAGGACATCCCAGAGACAGGGAGGCTTTGTCCCTGGTGTGACCTGCAAGGATCCTGCTTTCATCTGGAACAGACAACACCTAAAACTTTGTTTAGGTTGAAAAGTATCAACCCACAGGTTGGTTTTCCCCCTCCATGTCAGAGGCTGGGGAAGGAAAAAGTGAGAGCACATAAGCCAAATGTGGAGCAGCTGCCCCTTGGGTGCCTGGAGCTGGGCAGGGAGTGGCAGCCCCTGTCCCCTGAGCTCTGCTGGAGCCCTGGGAAGTGCAGCTGAATCCTGAGCTCTGGGAACTGTGAATCTGCCTCAGGCCTTGGGGTGGCCTTGCTGGGCCTTGTCCCCAGGAGGATGTGGGCACACAGGAGGGGAGGTGCTGGCTACTGAAACTTCAGATTGAACCCCCTGACTGCTCAGCTGCTTCTCCTGACAGAGCAGGCCAAAATCAGGAGCTTATCCTGCAAGGCTGGGATTGTCCCTGGAGAGGCTCTTACCTTGCTGTGACAATCTGTTCTTTTAATTCAGAGCAGGGATGGCCTTATTCCTCTATCAGAAATTATCAAAAAATAGATCTCCTGTTTCTTGGAAAATGGCCCTTCTTATTTTTGTCCTCTGTCCTATTTCACTATCTTTTCCCCATTCCTTCCAAAGCAGGCATTACCTTTACAATCAGATATGTTGTTCCTTAAAAAATCTGAGGAGTTGAAGGAACAAACTGTAAATGGTGTTAAAATTGCAGCAACTTAAAGCTCTGTTCAAGGCTTTGCACCATGCAGGAGAGTGCAGCAGTTTTACCAGGGAATACAAAAGCAGGCTGAAATTAAACCTTCGTTTTCTTACATGTGGGAGTTACTGCTTTGGTTGGACAAGGATAAAAGACGAATTCTGCTGTGGAATGAGTCTTCTTGGAGCTTCCTGCCTTTGGTCCAAACAGAAGTGCTGGATTTGCCTCTTGCCTGGAGCCCTGCACAGGGGAGGTTTGAAGCAGGAAAGTATCAAACCTTCCAGCAGCCATCCCCTCTCCTGCAGAGATGCAGGAGCTGTTGTGGGTGTCTGGGCTGGGCCTGATAAGTGACAGCTGCCTCTGAGCAGCAGGAACACAAACCTGAATTATCTGATGAACATTCTGCTGGCTTTAAACTTGCTGTCATACTGAATTCTTCTAAATACTCCCGAGATCATCTTTGGGAAGGCTGCCCTCTCCTTTCCAGGACACACAGATGCACTGTTAGAACCAGTGTTAACCTCCCCCCTGCTCCTAAGGTGCTTTTAGATTGGTTTAGGCTGCCTGAACTCTGCCCCTTCTTTAGGTGAGCCAATTCTTACCATCTCTTGCTTGTGAATCCAAGATTGCTCCCTCCTGACACTGCTGCCAGCCTTGCTTTCTACCCAGCTTTCTGTTTCCCTGAGCATGGCAGTGGACAAAGGAGCTTTGACTGCTGAACATGGGGGTTTGTGTCCCAGCAGGGCTGGGAGTGCTTGGCTAGCACAACATGGATACTCTGCAACAGACAATCCCTGCTCCACAGAGCTGGATTTTTTTATGGAAACTTGTAGAGAATGAGGCCAAACACTTTTGGTGAAGTTGGAGTGAGGGACTGTGAATCCAGCAGCACATGCAGCTCTAATCCAGTTGGATTTGCAGCTGACAGGCTCTTAGTCAGATTTGGCACTTCTGTGGAATCCATCAGGTTTGTTGTTAATTCTTGCTGCTTGGCACTCCTGCCAAGCTGTCTTTGATTCTGCAGCTAAAGAGAACATGGCCGATCTGGAATGAGCTGGAATAAGCCATTCTGCAGACTTGCTTGGGGAAGCTTTTGTGCCTGTGATGTGAGGATTAGTGCTAGTGCTGGGGTGAGTGATTGGGAGAGGGTGTGTTGTAGTTTGGGCTGATTTGGATCAAGAGTTATTGTGGTGTAATGGGGCAGGGAAGCCTTTGAAGCACTCAGCAGCTTTCCTGTTCAAACACCAGCAGCAGGGCCTGCACAGGAGCTGGACTTGCTACTGGTGGCATCATTCAGACTGCACAGTTGTGATTCCTGCAGTGCCTGGTGTGCTCAGTGTTACCTGTGGCTGTTTGTTTCCTGTTTGCCCTGGGCAGGTGAACTTGCAGCTCCCTGACTTTCACACAGTATTTTGGAGATCCTTGTGGATAACCAGCCAAGGGAAACATCAGCCAGCCTGGGGTTTGCTGGAGCTCCTGGGAACTGCCCTGGGGAAGGGCTTCCCACAGCCAGTGAGCTGGTCCCTGCTGTTGTGCTCCTGCACCCTCTGCTGCTTCCAGCTGGGTTAGCTACAGAGGGAGGGAGGCGGAAGGGAAATTTAATGTTTGCTGTCTTCGTTTGAAGAGATCAAAAAATGGTGTCAACTGCAGCCTCCTCTGCAGGCCAGATGGAACATTGCAGTGCTGACCCTGGGGCTGTCTCTCCTGGCAGATCCCCAAGGACGAGCACATCCTGCGCTTCCTGCGCGCCCGCGACTTCAACATTGACAAAGCGCGGGAGATGCTGTGCCAGTCGCTGGCCTGGCGCAAGCAGTACCAGGTGGATCTCATCCTGCAGTCCTGGAGACCCCCAGCCCTGCTGCAGGAGTACTACACTGGGGGGTGGCACTACCAGGACAAAGGTGAGTGTTGCTGGCTGGGGCTCTGTACAAATCACCAACGGGACGGGACTGCTGAGGAGCTGCCTTGAGCTGTTTGATTTTCCACCATCAGCCTCATTACATGGTTGTGACAATGGGAAGATGCCAGCAGCTCACATCTCAGGCAGCAGACCAAGAACTCAATGTCACAACTCACTTTATAAGTTTTCTGACCAATCCCACAAAGCAAAAGCACATTGACAGTAGTTCTATCCAACCACTATAAGCACAGGTACCTTTGGGTAAACGATGCTTGCTTATTTTGGATACAAGACCTGCTTGTGAGCCCTAAAACACAATGCACAGAGCTCCATTATTAAGCTTCAAACTTCCTAACATCTCACTAGATAAACTTTTCTGCAGATTAGGGTGTTATTCTAGACAAGCATTAATACACAGACCATTGTTCTATTTATCCTTACTTTTCTACATTTTACATAATTTTTCTGCTGACCAATCTCATGGCTACTGCTTGGCTCCAATCACAGTTCTGCTGTCTCTGAGGCTGCCTTTTGCAGCTTTCCCAAAACCCTCTGATTTTATGGATTCCCACAGTGAGGAGCTGCCCCTGGCATCTCACTGGTGGCCTGGTATGTTGAGGAAACCTGTATTGACATTTTTAAAGTTAACAAAGCAGTTCAGTGCCTATGAGCAGCCACTCTGCTTCCCTGTAATCGTATTTCTTCTGCACAGATCAGTCAGTCCAAAGCAATTTCTCTGAACAGGTTGCTTTTGGCAGTGATTTTTATCCTTTTCAAATATTTAATGTGGCTTTTAAAAAAGGTATGAGAGTGTTATCCTGGGAGACTAAAGTGCTGCCCTCTCTAACCCCTTTGTTTGAAGATGGGCGGCCGCTCTACATCCTCCGCCTCGGCCAGATGGACACCAAGGGTTTGGTGAAGGCCCTGGGAGAGGAGTCCCTGCTGCGACATGTGAGCTGTGCCTTTGTGTGTCACCTGTCCCCTCAGCATGCTAGGGAGTCTTGTCATGGTGCATCAGGAATCCTGGAATGGTTTGGGTGGGAAGGGACCTTAAAGCTCATCCCATCCCAGGGACACCTTCCACTGTCCCTGGGATGGAACTGTCCAACCTGGCTCCTGTCCAACCTGGCCTTGGGCACTGCCAGGGATCCAGGGGCAGCCCCAGCTGCTCTGGGCACCCTGTGCCAGGGCCTGCCCACCCTCACAGGGAACAATCCCTTCCCAATATCCCCTCTAACCCTGCCCTGTGCTTTCTGGATTTTTAAAAATAAGATCTCCAAGCCATCCTGGTAACTCAGCCATTCTCAGGCTAATCCCTGTCTGTGCTGTCTTTGATTCCAGGTTCTGTCCATTAATGAGGAAGGCCAGAAGAGATGTGAGGAAAACACCAACATCTTTGGCCGCCCCATCACGTCAGTATAATTGGTTTTAATTGGTTTATAACTGGTTTTCCTGGGCCCTTGCAGACTCTCAGTGCCATGGTGAAGGATGCTGCTGTGGTTTGGGGTGATGTCCTTAGGGTTACAGTGCAGACAGCAGTGTGTCTTATGGGCTGGATGGGGACCACACATATATTTATAAATTTATTTGTTGGACTTAAATGCAGACAAATCCCACAGTTTTGTTGGACAACAAGTATTGATCCTTCCTTATATCATTTTCATATCCCATCTCAGAATAATTTAATCTTTCTGTCTTGGTGATTTTAATCCACATCTTTGAAATTCTGGGGTTTTTAATACAGGAGCCTGTCTACCAGATTCCACCTTCATTTAAAATGCATTTTGACATTATTTTTAGCAATAGGCCTTCATACCTTCACCACCTTCTTCCAGAGTGACAGATGTTCCTGTCCTTGGGGTTGGGTGTTTGTGTTACCTGGAGCTCACCTGGATTCTGCTGCCCAGGTGGAGATGTGCTTTTATTGGAGCTGCTTGTGTCCCTTGTTGGCTTCCCTGGATCCTGCACGGGCTGTGGGGTCACTGTGGATCCTAAACTGCGCAGCCACCACACTCTAAAGTTCTGACAGGTCTTTTTCTGCCTGTTTGTTTTAGATCCTGGACATGCCTGGTGGACTTGGAAGGGCTCAATATGAGGCACCTCTGGCGGCCTGGGGTGAAGGCCCTGCTCAGGATCATTGAGGTGGTGGAGGACAACTACCCTGAGACCCTGGGGAGGCTCCTGATTGTGAGAGCACCACGGGTCTTCCCTGTGCTCTGGACCCTGGTGGGTGAAACCTGGGCTCTGCAGGGTCACTGCCACGTGTGCAGGGTCACAGATAGCTACATCAGCAGAGGCAGGGAGGGAAATCTCCAGGCAGCTTTTGGGGAGCTCCTGAAGAGCCACAGCAGAACCAGGCATGGGGTACCTGCAGCTCACTGGGTTCTGGTCACTGCCATCCACCAGGACAGGATGAGAAACCTGGATCAGAATTGCCCATTCCACCCAACCTTGGTGGGCTTTCATATAGATGGGAAAAGACAGATAGCTTTTAATCTAATGCTGTAGGACACTGAATGGTAATATGTAGTAAGTAATAAGTAGTAAATAATAAATCTGGTACTGCCTGGTGCCTGCCGACTGCTCTGGCAGTGTGAGAACATGGTTGTTACATTTCTTGTGAGGTTTGTGGGTGAGGCAGTGACTGCAGACTTGCTTTACAGGAAGCAGAAAGTGTTGTGAGATAGTAATACAGAGAGAGAGAACATTTTCAGTTTGTTATCCCTCTCTTTGGGAAGTGCCTCAGAGCTGAGAAGCTCTGCACACTGCTGAGACATGTTGTGAGATGGCTCAGCCAGTGTCCCCAGCTGCCCTCAGTGACAGCCATGTCCTGTGTGCCCTTTGTCTTTCAGGTCAGTCCCTTTATCAATGAGAACACACGGCAGAAGTTCCTCATCTACAGTGGCAATAACTACCAGGGCTCAGGAGGGCTGGTGGACTATGTGGACAAGGATGTGATCCCAGACTTCCTGGGAGGAGACTGCATGGTGAGTTTTCCTTCCTCTTGTGCAGGTGCAATCTGGAACTGATTTCTTCTTCTTCACCCCCCTGGCCTTCCACTGCCTTCTGGAAGGGGTTAAGCCTCTGTGCTGCCTAGCATGGCCCTGCTGTGGGCACAGGGCAGTTGATTTGGGCACAGAGAGCTGCCCCCTGCAGTGCTGGTGCTGCCCTGGGATCCTGGGCTGTAGGAGCATCAGGGGTAGCACGGTCAGACACAGAGATCTCTGCAGCCAGGTCAGGAACTTGGGGTTTATTGCAAAGGGCCTGGGGGCAGGGCCCTGCTGGGAGCTGCCAGGCACAGCTCAGAGCAGGCCTGAGAGAGGAGAGGGACAGAGAGGATGAGAGGGTAAGAGAGCGAGGTTCCCGTTCCAATACAATAAATCTTCTGTGTTGAATATTCTGATTCTCACTAACCAATCTAGTACAAGATACAAATCCTATAGCATTTACATACAGCCTATAAAAATCATTACATTACCACACTGTGTTACATTTTAAACCCTATAAACTCCTCTTTGGGCCCCTTCTGCCAAGCTGTAGGGTCTGCTCTGACCCTTGGAGCTGTCTGCAGGCAGAGGGTGTTGTTCCATCAGAAGGGGATCACCTTCAGCTGGCCATGCCATTGTTTTCCAGTTGTTCAGTAACTGAGGTATCTCAAAGCTTGCTTTCATTTCAATCTTGCTTGTAGTTTCTATATTCTCAAAATCTTTTGCCAGGCAATCATATTTATAAGGCTTTCCTGTTTCATCTTCCCCAGCACTGGAGCAGGGTCAGAGGGCAGCTCTCTGCAGGGAGCTCACAGAAACCTCGGTAGTTCCCATGAGCTCAGAGCCACTGTGCAGTTCTGGCTCAGCTGAGGGCTCAGCCCATGTCTGACAGCAGCAGGGGTTGCTGGCTCACTGCTGGAGCATGCTGAGCCCTGTTTGTCTGTGTGATGTTGCAGTGCACTGTCTCAGAGGGGGGGCTCGTCCCCAAGTCCCTGTACCAGAGCGAGGACGAGCCGGAGAACTCGGATCACATCCGGCTGTGGACAGAAACCATCTACCACTCTGCCAGTGTCCTCAAAGGAGCCCCACACGAGGTACAGAGCACACCCTGAGCTGCTGGCATGGCAAAGTGACATGTGTCCCCTCTGCTGGGGCTGCTGGAGCAGCCAAGGGCTCCCAGCACAGGGAGCAGCAAGGGCTCGGCAGCAGCTGCTGTTCCTGCAAGGGAGCAGCTGCATGTGTGGGAGTGAAGAGAGCAGTGTCAGCAGCAGAGTCTCTTATCTCTGCTGTGGCCTGATCTTCTGTAAGGTCCAGTCTCTTCCTGCTCCTCCTCCTCCTCTTGGGAGAAATAAAGGACACTCAGTTTCCCTTGTGATAGTTCAGCTCCCATTCCCAGCAGTGCAGCTGGGACAGTAACGGGGGTGATAAAGGAAGGTGTGTGCTGGGAGTCACCACCAAACAGGATGTCCCAAAAAGGAGCAAATCAGTGTTAAATCAGCCTTGTGGGCTCTCTGATGGGGAGTCACTCTGATTTGGCTCTTTGTGCCTCAGTTCCACTGAGGTTTTCCTAGAAGAAATAACTCATTTACAAGCAACTCTGATATGGGGAGAAAAGGTAAAAACTCCTGAGTGGGTGTACTGTGGTAGGGTTGGGAGTGGGAGGTGGTGTGTATCCCCCTTAGGAGCCAGGACCATCACCCAGCTGAAGGATTGTGGAGCAAAGTCTGTTTGCCCCAGAGTGGGGAGGAGCACAGTGCTGCCACCTGAGCACCTGACCCTGTTCTGTTCCTTTCTTAGATACTCGTGGAGATCCTGGAAGGGGAATCTGTCATCACCTGGGACTTTGACATCCTGAAGGGAGATGTGGTGTTCAGCCTCTTCCACTCCAAACGAGCTCCTGAGCCAAGTCACAAAGAAGCCACCTCACCAAGTCCCTCTGGTGCAGGGGACAATGTGCAGCTCATTGACAAGAGCTGGGTGCTGGGGGTGGATTACAGCCGGGTGGAATCTCCCCTGGTCTGCAGGGAAGGAGAGAGCATCCAGGTCAGTGGGGTGGGGTCCTGCCATGGCCTCAGAGTCCTGCCAGCTCCAAATTCCTCCAGGGAGGGAATTGATGGTGTGGGAAATCAGGAGCTGCTAGAAAAGGGGGCTGTGGTCATTCCCAGCAGCAGGGAAGGGGGGATTCTGCCCCTCTGCCCCACTCAGGTGAGACCCCACCTGCAGAGCTGCCCCAGCCCTGGGCCAACAGCAGCAGGACCTGGAGCTGCTGGAGAGAGTCCAGGGGAGCCCATGGAGATGCCCCAGGGCTGGAGCCCCTCTGGAGCCAGGCTGGGAGAGCTGGGGGTGCTCACCTGGAGAGGAGAAGGCTCCAGGGACACCTCAGAGCCCCTTGCAGGGCCTGAAGGGGCTCCAGGAGAGCTGGAGAGGGACTGGGGACAAGGCATGGAGGGACAGGACACAGGGAATGGCTCCCAGTGCCAGAGGGCAGGGCTGGATGGGATATTGGGAATGAGGAATTGTTCCCTGGGAGGGTGGGCAGGCCCTGGCACAGGGTGCCCAGAGCAGCTGGGGCTGCCCCTGGATCCCTGGCAGTGCCCAAGGCCAGGCTGGGCAGGGCTTGGAGCAGCCTGGGATGGTGGAAGGGGATGGAATGGGATGGGCTTTAAGGTCCCTTCCACCCAAACCATTCTGTGATCATTTTCTAGATAGCCTGTGAAAATGAGAAATCCTTATTTAAAGTGAGTCATTGGAGACTCCAAGCTAAAATTCTTACAGAAATTAAGCTAAATAAGCTTTTTCTTTTCCTGCTGGTACTACAGGGCTGTGTCTCAGGCAGGTGAGACAGGTGAGTGACACCTGTGCTGGGACATTCAGCCCTTCCCCCAGCCACCCCTGCTGTCCCTCCCTCTCTGCAGGGCTCCCATGTCACTCGCTGGCCTGGCTTCTACATCCTGCAGTGGAGGATGCACGGGCCCCTGCCCTGCTCCAGCTCCAGCCTGCCCCGTGTGGACGATGTCCTGGCCTCCCTGCAGGGCTCCAGCCACAAGTGCAAGCTCATCTACTACTACGAGGTGCTGGCCTCCAAGGACTTCAGGTAGGGCATTTACAAGGGGTTTACTACAAGTTGCACTGGGGGGGTGAGTTAAACACTTGGATATCAGAGACCCCCATGGGGTGAGTTTCACTGACAAGTGGATGGACACAAAATTGGTGGCATTTTTGCAACCAGTCTCCCCTGGTGCTGTAGGTATTTAAGAGCTCCCTTGAATCTGTGTCCACCAGTGAAATTTGTGCTTTGGGTCTTGCTTGCAGCTGCCTGAAGAGCAGGAGATTTTTGACTCAAGAGGGTTTTTAACTTAGTTGGGAATATTTTGCAAAGCTGATTTTGGAGTAATTGAAATATCAGCTGGGCTGTTTCCCAGATGATTTTGTTTGGCACTTCTGGGCAGGTGAACAGCCAGCCTTGGCAGGGTGTGCCTGGCCCTCTCCTTCAATGCCAGAAGCACCTCCCCATCTGTTAATCTGAGCTCTGTGCAAGCCTTGGCTCTTCCCTGGAGCTGGAGGAGGTGTTGGGCAGAGCAGATTTGAGGGTGGTGGCTTGAGGTGTGACCTGGCCAGGTCCTGTGGGGTCAGAGCAGCAGAAATGCCTCTCTCCAGTCCTGCTCTTCCTTGGGCTCTTCCTGAGCCCAGCCTGCTTTTGGCAGGAGGAGCTGGGACTCTGGTGTTCAGTAGCCTGGAGTCCTTGGGTTCACAAGGCTGCATCTGGAGTCCTTTGGAGCTTTCCTTTCTCCTCAGGGACAGCTCCCAGAGGCTCCAGCTGTGTCCCTTTCCCCAGAACAATAGTCAGAGACAAGGAATAATATCTGTAAATGGGAAAAAATGTCCCTGACTGATTAATTTTTCATCATGACACAGAGATTCTTAGAGAGCAAGTGGGAAATGATGGGCCACAAGCCCTTGTGCAAGTGCTAGAGAGGGGAGCTGATCTGTGGGAGGAACCCCTTCACTGCAGCCTTGCTAACAGCACTTCTGTTCTGTCCCATCCCAGGGGATCCATGTCCAGCCTGGAATCTTGCACCAGTGGTTTTTCCCAGCTGAGTGGAGTCACCACATCCTCCAGCCAGTCCCAGAGCAGCTCCCACCTCTCCAGATAGCAGAGCCAGGGCTGCAGCACCAGGGGCACCCGGGGCTGCTCCAGCCCCAAACCAAAGAGCTCCAGGGCTGAGCCGTGGGGCAGCCGCAGCCATTTGGACACAGAGAGGCCTCTGGGGGCTGCTTCAACCACAAAAAACTGAAATTCCAAGGGCAGGTTTAGGGGTTTTGGGTCTGCTGCCTGCTCCTCAGTAGCCTCCTTCACCACCTGTGGGTTTTGGTGCCTGTGAGTTTGCAGGAACCCACTCCAAAGGGCTTTTCCATTGGTTCTTTCCCCCAGAAGAGGCTGATGTTGCCTTAGCTCCTGGACCTTGAGAGAATTCCTGGGTGGCAAAACAAGGGAATGTCCTGGCTGCCCACAGGGTTCTGCTTCCACACTGGGCAGTCAGGGGGGCATTCCAGGGGCAGGGCCTTGGCAGGAACTGCCAACACCTGGGTACAGGCAGGATGGTTCAGAAATCAATTCCAGGCCACACCAAAAACCTCTCCTGGTCTGGCAGGATGCTCTGGGAAATGTGTTGAATTTTTTTTAACCCTGCTGAGAAACAAAGTCAAAAGGTTTTGGTTTTTTTTTTTAGAAATTCCAGGCATTGAATCTGCCTGCAGTGAGTGGCATCTTCCAAACTATTGTTTCTTTTTACTCAGGTTCACAGCAATAATGAGTAGGTCTGTCCCATTCCCGAGTGGATGGGAACTGAATCCAGTCCTAAAGGGCTAAGAAAAGCAATATTTGATTTCCTGAAGGCACAAGATTTTCTGGCAGTATTACAGAACTTGCTTCTTCTAAACATGAGCTCACTTGAACCATTCAGAGAGGCATGTATGTATGTAAGCACTTACTGAAGCCTATTTATTCTATACTAGCTTATTTTAAATTAATTTTTAACTTATTATGTCAGAAATGGCTATTTATTAAATACAGTCACCTTTTTTAATGGGATAAACTTTGTTTTAGAAAGGAATAACTGATTGTCTTCAATCCCAAGCAATCTTTCTGCTTGGGTCCTGATCTTTGTGATCAATGGATGTTCTTGCAAAAGGGCTGCATTGGGTTAAGGGCTTGTGTCACCTTCCTTGTGAGGAAAGGTGAGAGTCCCGTGCTTTTTTAGACTGTTTTTTAGGGTTAAGAAACAAGGATTGAGTTCAGGAGTTGTCATGAAGATGCACTGTCTTCCTACACACCAAAAATGCCACGTTTGTCCCTAATCTCTGATTGTTCCTGTAGTCAGGTTGGGGAGCAAAGTTATCCATGTTCTTGTCCAGGTGAAAAAATAATGAGAGCAGGTGTCAAATATTCACCAAGTTTTTATTCAGGAATCTGTGAAATTGTTCCTTCCCACCCTGTTTTTTTTTTAATCACTGGTTTTGAAGCACCAGGCTCTGCCAAATGAGAAAAGAGCCAAAATATCTGGGACAATGGGAGACAAAGAACTTGGCATGGTTTTGAGTTGTTTGGTGGGGTATTTTAAGGATTGGAGCCAAGGGAATCACTCTGCACCTTGCATCTCTCCCTGTGAACAGGTAACTTTGTTATGTAGAGCTCAGGGATGTTCTGATTTCCAATTCTCAGTTGTTCCATAGACTTTCATGTTTCTCCCAGACAAATGAAACTTCTGTCTCTGGCATTTCAGCATAACTGGAATATGATAAAGAGGGACAAATGTAAATGTAATTCCCACCTTTCCTCTGGGAAGACAGGAATTTTGGAAGCAAAAGTGCATGTGTGTATCCCTCGTGGAAAATCCTTGACCCAGAATAAAATCTAATTTTAAAAACAGTTTCAGACTCCCAAAGCCCCAGGAGCAAACCCAGCCCTGTCCCCCTGTGCTGTTTCAGGATTGTACCTTCCCTTCTCACGTGGTTGCAGTGGCAGCATTCCTGTTCCCTGGGTTTGCTCTGGGTAAGAATCTCTTCCTTTGCCCTAGATTTTTTTGTCATTTTGTTTTGAAATGTGGGATATGCTGTTTTCTACCCACCAGAAGTCTGAGTTTTGTCAGTGAAGGACCTTGGTACCTGGCAGATCTCTGAAGGGTGAGGTCAGGGATGGTTCCACAGAGTGTTCCTGGCTCTGGGGATATTCCAATCCCAGTTTTTCCTCTTGTCCCTTGGCACTCCCACTCCTGTGCCCATCAGAGATCATCCACAGGTCTGTGAAGCAGCTTGTGACCTCTCCTTGGCAAGGCTGCCTGGTTTGTCCCACCTGACAATTTACTCTGAAACCAATTTAAATAATTCAATATTTTTTTACTTTTCCTCCTGAATATTAACAGGAAAAAAGGGAGAAACAGCCTGGATGCTGTGCTGTGCTTTCTAAACCTGACCTTGTGAACTGCAGATAGCAGAGACACAGAATTCTTCTACATCACCTTTTCCCCCTCAAACTACATCAGTGTGCTTAGAAAATAAACTCAGAGTTTTCTTCACAGTGAGCTGAGGCTGGGAGGGATTTTGGATCCTCAAAAATCTCCTGAGCCAGAGCCTTGGGCAATGGGCTCTTGTGGGTGATGCAGCAAAGCCCTCCCTGCTCCCTCCCCAGCAGCCAGGCCAGTGAGCTCGGGCTGTGTGCAGGGATGGAGCTGCTGGTTAAAAAGGGGCTCCCAGAAAATTGGGGCTGTCCCTGGTTCAGATATTCCCTATGCAAACACAACACCTACCTCAGAGCTGGGGCCATGTCCGTGGTGCAGGGGAGTGCAGGATGCTGTGCCAGGGTCACACAGCCACACGTGGCACCTTCATTGCCAGAGTCCTCCAGTGTGCCCCAATCCCTGCGCCCTGGCCAGGGCTGGGAAGGGCAAACACAGAGCCTGAGTGAGGATGGACGCTGGATGGCCTCAGCTGTGGTTCAGGGCACGGTCCTGAGCCGTGTTTTGCTGCTCTCCGCTGTGAAAAGGGCTCTGTCCCCGCCGGAGGAGGAGGGCAGAGCCCCGGGGCACCAGGGGCGGCTCCAGCCCCGGCTCCAGCCCCGGCTCCAGCCCCGCAGGTGTCACTGGTGCCGGGGCAGCGCTGGGAGTCGGCTCTGGGGCTCTCAGGGAGGCACCAGAACAGCTCAGCCATTCCTCAGCTCAGTCATTCCTCAGCTCCTGAACTCAGCTCAGCCATTCCTCAGCTCAGCCATTCCTCAGCTCAGCCATTCCTCAGCTCCTGAACTCAGCTCAGCCATTCCTCAGCTCCTGAACTCAGCTCAGTCATTCCTCAGCTCCTGAACTCAGCTCAGCCATTCCTCAGCTCCTGAACTCACTGTTGGGAACAATTCTCCACGGTGAGCAGGCCAGGCACTCCTTAGTGACTGAGATGCAGCTGTGCTCTCTGCTCAGCCACTCTGGTTCTGTCTGTTCCTTTTCAGGAAGTGTGGATAACAATTTGTAATCCCAATTTTGAAGATTTTGAAAATGCCATAATCCACTCACAATTCCCAGCAGGAACTGGTGAGCCCAGCTGTCCACCACACTGGGCTGGGAAGCTGCTGGGGCTGAGGCCAACCCTGCTCCAGGCAGGGAATCCCTCATTTCAAAAGCATTTTATGAGCTCACACTGCTTTAATGTCCCAAATGTTTGTACTGTGGGCAATTAATGCAAGGAACAGCTATTAGAGATTTACTTGACAGCAGCTGTCAAAGACTCCTGCATGCAATTAGCTTTAATATTCCTCCAACACCTTTGTGATGCTCCTTACATCTGATTATTTCTCTCTTGGAAGGTGAAATTGGAATCAAGTCACATTTGCTCTTTTAGTGACACCAACACCCCCTTCCAAGCTTTCAGTTACACCTAAGTTAAATGGGCATTAATTAAGTTTTTTAGCAGCACTTACTTTCTTCTCCTTTGCAGCTGGCTTTGGTTTTATACACGGAAATCCTCATTTTTCTCAGCCAAAACCCTCAAACCTCCTGTAAGAGCCCACTGCAGGGCACTGAAATAACAGATGTCCTCCTGTGATGGTGTCTGTGTGTCCTGGTAGAGCTGTACTTTTGGGTATTGGGGAAATAAAACATTTCTGAGAACATGTGGAATTGTTTGATTCAACTGTTGAAATTGCAGAGCAGTGAAAATTCAAGCCTGTGTGCTGCTCTCTTTGCCCACAGAAGCAGAGGGAATGCTTGTATTCACTTTTTCCTGCTTTTTAACTAAAATGTTTGGGTTTTTTCCTACAGAACCAGCATCTTTTGTTTCATTTCCTAGCACAGAGTGGGCTGGAACAGCACATCCTGCAGTGTGGGTGTTATTAAACATAAAAGAGCCCCTGGGTTCCACTGGGGGGCTGAGGTTAACTGGGAAAGGATCAGCTCCTTCTGCAGCTGCACATCAGGAATTCTCAGTTTCAGGCAGGTAGCACTAAAAGACTTTATTCAAGTTTCAAATAAACTTCTGTAAATCATAGAAAAATAGAGTCTCTTGGTTACAGGCTGATTTGGTGCCAACACTGGCACAGAAAATACACATCCTTTACTTGGAGAGGTAAAAAGGGAGTGAGTGCATAAAGGTGTGTGGGGCTCAGACAGGCTCTCACCCCTCTGCAGCATCCAAGGGGCTTGGCCAAGGCTGGTTCCCTCCCAGGGAAGCAAATTCCAACACTGTTTGAAAGGAGCTGTGCAGGGAAGTGTTCCACATTTCCAGAGGTGCTCAGGATCCTGGCTGGACTGGAGCCCTTGCTGGTCCCTCTGAGGAGAGCCCAGCTGGGGCAGGGCAGCCCAGTCTGTGCCATGCCAGCCATGCCAGGCTGTCCCTGTCTGTGCCCTTCCCCACAGGGACAGCTCCAGGCTGTGCCAGGGTCCCTCAGAGCTGGGCAGAGCCTTTGGCACCTGGGAGCTGGAGAGATGCACAGCTGGAACCTGGGAGGGCTTTTTTGGAGCTGCCCCAAAGCACAGCACTCATCACCCTCTGGGGCTGCTCTGGCCTGAGGATTGGTCAGAAAACACCCCAGCCCTGCAGGGACTGTCACAACCCTGCATGTCACCCCTGAGCCACCACCACAGCCAGGACAGGAGGGCTCTGCTGCCACTGGCTGCTGCACCTGCTTCAACATTTTAGAACAAACTTTTGGTCACTTTTCTGATTAAAATCTGAGCTTAGCAAGGAAGGGCAGACACTGACTAATACCCTTCAGCCCAGCTTTGTACTAGAGGCAGTTTAACCAGCATCTTAAAAAGCACTGCTCAGGTGAGCAGGGATCTTTCAGAGCTGCTGTGACCTGCATCCCTCACCTGTTTGCCTCCCATCTCCTTTCCTGCTGCAGCTGTGGAATTCCCTCACCCAAGGGATGTCCTGCATCCCCTGATGCTGCAGTCCTGGCTGCTGGGGCAGCAGAGGAAAGGAAACTACAGCCTCAACAGGGCAGTTCCTGGGCTGAGGTTCCTCAGGCAGCATCTGAGGCTCCCATAGGAACAGCCCCAGTCCCAGTCGGTGCTGAGGGGCAATGCAGGGTGAAATCCCTCATCCCATCCATGATTCTAAAGGAACTCTTGGTTTGGGTCCTGAGTGTCCTCAGGCTCCTGAGTGTCCTCGTGCTCCCAGGCAGCAGAGGTGGGGCTGTGAGGGGTGTCCCCGTTGATGTCCCTCAGGGGGAGGTAGCGATAGTCCCGCTGCTGCTGCTGCTGCCGCCGCCCCTGCAGCACCAGCCCCACGTTCCCCAGGGCACTCAGCACCAGCAGCAGGGCCAGGGCAGAGCTCAGGGAGAGCCACGAGCTCCTGTGGGACACAAATCACAGCAGCAACAGCTCACCTGTGTGCCCAAGTGTGCAGAGGACTGCCCTCCCTTCTCTGTGTTCCCAAGCTTGTGGGCCTGCTCTCAGGCAGGACAGAACCACAGAACCATTATGGTTGGAAAAGCCCTCCAAGATCATCGAGTCCAACCATTGTCCCAGCACTGCCAAGGCCACCTCTGACCCATGTCCCCAACTGCCACATCCACATGGCTTCTAAATCCCTCCAGGGATGGGGACTCCACCACCTCCCTGGGCACCCTGTGCCAGTGCCTGACCACCCTTCTGTGAGGAATTTCCCCAATATCCAATCTGAACCTCTCCTGGCACAACTTGGGGCTGTTTCCCCTTGTCCTGTCCCTGTCCCCTGGGAGCAGAGCCCGACCCCCCGGCTGTCCCCTCCTGTCAGAAGCATTGCAGAGCCACAAGGTCCCCCCTGAGCCTCCTTTGCTCCAGGCTGAACACCCCCCATGCTCTGTGGCAGCCTCTGAGATGCACAGTGAGCACCAAACACTTACTCCGACAGAGAGAACTTGTCTTTGCTCTTCTCCTTTTCCAGGGAAGCCAAACACTGTCCAGCTGGAAAACAAAGAGAGAAGAAAGGTGGGGCAGGGTGTAAAATTCCACTAAAAAAGAGCAAGGTTAAGCAGAGCTGCTGACTAAGCAAACACCATGATGCACTAAAGCTGCTCTTCCAGCTTTTCCTCAAGCCCCAGCCCATGCAGGGATACCTCTGTGTAAGTGCTCCTGCAGTGCCCCGTGGTGGCTGATGTTGCAGCTGCCCGTCTCGGGGTCACAGGGACACGAGTGGTCACACGCACAGCGGCTCTGGCAGCTCGGCCCAAACCAGCCCGGGGGACACTCTGGGGATGGGATCACAAAGGGATTGGTCATTGCCACAGCTCCACCTGCTCTGAGAGCACCCAGGCTGAGGCTGCAGCTCCCTCAGCTCAGCCGAGCCCGCAGCAGCCTGGGAGCACCATGCTGGAGTTCAAGGCTGCTCCTTGGTGTGCTTCAGAGGGAAGTTTGTGTAAAACTGGGATCACAGAATCATGGAATGGTTATTTGAATTGAAAGGGACTTTAGAGCTCATCTTGCTCCACCCCCTGCCATGAGCAGGGACATCTTCCACTATCCCAACTATGGTTGCTCCAAGACTCAAAGTCCAACCTGGCCTTGGACACTTCCAGGGATGGAGCAGCCACAGCTGCTGGGATGGGATTGGCTGAGTGTTCCCAGGAACACAACATCACTGACAGAACCAGCCAGCCAGGAAGTTCACAGCCCCCTGTAATTCAATTGTTCACTCAGATCCAGGGGACCTGGAGTGGTTACACCAGGCAGAACACTCAGCACTGGCCCAGGGAGTGTGAGGGTGGATGGCTGGACAGCCCTGTGGAGCATTCCCCAGGCTCTGACCTGCAGCACCTGAAGCCTGGGCTTCAGCAGGGCCTGGTGCAACACCCTGGAGCAGAGGATGTTTTGTGGTCACTCAGGGGCTCTGGGAAAAGAATGCAGTTCTTTGGGGCTGAGACTGAACAGGAATCCACAATTTTCCATTGAGGAAGCAAACTCCTCTTTCCTCTCTGCTCCTTCTGTCACAGACACATATTATGAAAAATCCTTTCCTTAAGATTTTTTCTCCTGAGAAGCTGAAAGGCCTCAAGAACAAAATGTAACCAATGGTTATCTGCTGCTGTGGAATGCAACAATTGCATCTTTGATTAGTCTCATGTGGTTGTTTCTAATTAATGGCCAATCACAGTCCAGCTGCCTCAGACTCTCAGTCAGTCACAAGATTTTATCATTCAATTCTTTCCTTTGCTTGCTAGCCTTCTGATGAAATCCTTTCTTCTATTCTTTTAGTATAGTTATAATATAATATAATATAATATAATATAATATAATATTATATTATATTATATTATATTATATTATATTATATATCATAAAATAATAAATTAGCCTTCTGAAACATGGAGTCAGATCCTCATCTCTTCTCTCATGCTGGGACCCTTGTGAATACCACCACACTCCTTCCTCTCCTTTTAGCCCATTTGGGTAGGCCAGGCAGGCCCAGAAGAGCTGGGAGCCGGCTGGTGATGTTCAGGCCTGAGCTCCCTGGCAGAACTGCCCCCAAGAGGCGGCTCAGAGGTGACACAAAGCGCTGTCCCCAGCCCCAGAGGTCGCTGTGATCCTTACCATGCTCACAGCTGGTGCCGTAGAAGCCGGCAGGGCAGGAACAGGCGCCGTGCACGGGGTCACAGGAGCCGCCGTGCTGGCAGCGGCACTGCTGGCTGCAGGACTGCCCGAAGGAGCCAGGAGCACACGCTGCAGGAACAAACACAATGTCACCAGGGCAGAGGTGAGCAATGCCAGCACACAGCCCCAGCTCATCCTGTGGGGGATGCTCCCATAAGCTGAGTGTGTGCCCTGAACAAGGAGCAAGGACTCGCGTGTCTCCCACCAAGCCAGCTGTAGATGCTGCAGCTGCATTGAACTCACACTGCCAGAAACGAGCAGCCCAGCCCACAGGGCGGCCTCTCCCTTCCCTGCTCCCCCCCTCGGGCAGGCAGCTGCTGGAAAGTGGCTCCCACTGCCCCTCCCTGGCTGTGCAGAGGCAGGGGAGCAGCAGTCAGGATTTACCTTCGGTGCAGTTGCTGCCAGTCCAGCCGGCGTCACACAGGCACCCAGCTATGCAAACATGGAACAGGCATTACTGACAACAACAACACACAATTACAGGCAGCAAGGACTTGAAATTAGGAGCCTCTGCCTCTTGAGGTGCCCTCTTACCCCTGCCAGAAGAGGAACCCTGCACTCAGACAAAGGGTGGGTTCACAGCCCCCCTCCCCAGCTGCCACATGCAGCAGAATCCCTGATGGCATTCCCTGGGACCAGCTCTGGGGCAACACCTGCACCCACCAAGCTCTGCCCAGCCACTGGGGCACACTTGAATGAAAGTGGAGTCAGGAGGACAGGAACAGGGAAACAGGGATGGGCACAGAGGGGCAGAAGCTGGGGACACACATTCCAGCAATCCCTAGGCTCAGATTCATGGAAGAGTAGCAACTGCACACTTGTAAAAATTATGAAATAGGAGAGGCAGATGAAGAAGGAACAGTGAGAGGACAGAAGCAGCTGCTGTCACACAGCAGAAAACACAGCCCTGCCCATCAGCAGCCTCACAAAAAACCCAGAGCACAACCCTGGGGCAGAAAAGGAAACTGAGGCACAGAGCTGGCTCCTAAAGGCAACGTGTTCTGGCCGTCTGTGCCTCGGATGCTGGAGCAGAGGGGAAGCAGCCCCACCCACCCCGCTGCTGCCTGGCACACCGTATTCCCCCGGGCCATTCCCCAGGGATGCACGGCCAGGTCTCCGGGCCCCCTGTTGCTCCCCGGGCCCCTGGGTGCCATCGGCACGGGACTCACCGGCGCTGCAGACGCCGCGCAGGCTGCAGTTGGCAGGGCCGCAGTCCAAGGTGTCACAGGCGGGTCCCGCCCAGAAGGGGCTGTCGCAGCGGCACTGCCCGGCCACGCAGAGCCCGTGGCCGCTGCAGTCGGGCGGGTCACAGCCCGGCTCGTGCACGCACACCACGGTGGAGATGCTCCGGGGACAGCGCCACATGCTGTCAAAGGAGCTGGGGACAGCAGGGGGGACAGCCTGAGCTCACCCTGCACTGCCCGGCCCAACCAACACCCGTCACACAACCCAGAGATCTCCTCCTGAGCCACACTGCCAAACATGAACATTAACACTGGGGAAATATGAACATCAAACTGCACTGGAGTCAATGTTTTAACTGAGTTATAAATCCCATCTGATAGGTATCATTTCAAACATGAAATTACAGAAGCAACACAGTCCCCCTTAAAGCAGTCCCAGATTCCCTCATTTTGGCACACATTTTCCTGAATGTTATTTGCTTTGATATACATCACTGTAGTTATGGCAACTGAATGTTAAATCCCTTCATGTTTACAGTCAGAACTGACTAAAAAGTTGAATTTAAAACAAAAATATTCTTTAGATTTCCTCCAATGAGGAAGGGCAGGGTCTCCCAGTCAGTGTTTCTCTTCCATAATAATAAGCTGCTGACAGATCTCTGCTAATTCCCCTGGATGTTCAGCTCTGAATCTCCCAGACTAAGAGCTGCTGCATTATCCAATTCCCACATCAGCCACTCAGTCACAGCCACAGCTTTGCTGCCTGTCTGGAACCAGCTCAGCTTTAATCCTGGATGACTAAGTGGAAAAAACATGGAGTCACTCAATCTCTTTAAATTCTAGAGCCACTCTCTCCTGCCTTTGCTGTGGCCTCTCAGGCAGGCCAGGCCGTGGGGCTGGGCTCTGCAGGCTAACAGGAGCAGCAGGGCCCTGGGCAGAGCCAGCAGCACCTACCAGTGCTCAGAGGGGTAGTTGGCCAGGGTCCCGTTCAGGACCAGCGTGGCAGAGCCTCCACCATCCAGGTTGATAGCATTGATCACTCCCTGCTGCTTCAGGAACTCTGCCATTTCCCACAGGCTGACCCTGCAAAGCAGAGGTTGGTTGGTGATTTGCCTTCAGTGAAGCTGTTAGATCAGGAGCCTGCTGCTCTCTGTGGTGGAAGGGGAAGCTCTCCCATCCCAGGCACCCTGAGGAGGGCTCTGTGAGCCTTTTCTGGCTCCCCTAAGCTCTGCAAATCTCTGCCTTAAAACATGTCCCTGACAGCTGCAGAGCCCCTGCAGCCCCAGGAACTGAGGACCTTACCAAGCCCTTACCCTCTGGACTCTGTCTGTCCATCCACATGAACCAAGACCAGCCGGCCCTGACGGTCGTGTCCCACTGCAGTCCTGGCTGAGATCACATTGATGAACCTGTCAAAGGTTCCTGCAGCACAGGGAACAATTCACACTCAGCTGGGGCACACAACGGGCTGCTCAGACACTCCTGGCTGCAAAGAGCTCCCAGCAAGGGCCTCATCTGAACTGAAGCACAGGAGAGCACAGCCCAGCCTCCTCTCATTCATCCAAGCCCTACAAAAGTGCCAAAACTTAATCAAGTTTTTGTCTGGCACAGGGACAAAGCAGGGGATTCACAATCCCTCGGCTTCATATTCCTTAAGAGGCACCTGCTTTGAGTTTCTGGTTAGACAGGATATTGGAATTCTTGGCTGGGAGGGTGGGCAGGCCCTGGCACAGGGTGCCCAGAGCAGCTGGGGCTGCTCCTGGATCCCTGGCAGTGCCCAAACCCAGGCTGGACAGGGCTTGGAGTGACCTGGGACAGTGGAAGGTCCCTGCCCACAGCAGGGGTGTGGAGTAAGATGGTCTTTAAGGTCCTTCCAACCCAAACTATCCCATGATTCTATGAAAGTTGGAGCTCTTTGTGGCATTCACATTTTCTGTAAAATCCCTTCGCCCAGGATTTTTCTCCTGGGAAGCTGAGAAGCCTCAGAGAAAAGAGAAACAATTCTTATCTCATTTGCTTCTCCAGTGTTTTGTTCATGTGGAATGTGTTTGGAGATTGTTTACCCACAGGTGGTTGTTTTATTGGGTTCTGCTGTGAGTTGTTTTCACTCTTTGGCCAATCAGAGCCAAGCTGTGTCAGGACTCTTTCCAGAATCAGGAGTTTTCATTATTATCTTTCTAGCATTCTGTAAGTATCCTTTCTGTATTCTTTAGTATAGTTTAGTATAGTATTCTTTAACATAATATAGTATCATAAAGTAATAAATTAGCCTTCTGAGAACATGCAGTCAGATTCATCATTCCTGCCTTCATCTGGGGCAGCCCAAACACAATACCTGTTAAGCACCCTTGTCCCTAGAGTGCCAGGGGACAGAGAGCCCCTGGGCAGGCTGCAGCCAGGCCCACAGAATTTACCTGTGCTCTGGATGTCCCCACACTCAGCTGCCCTGCTCTGGTTGATGTACAGCTCTCCATCCCTCAGCAGCCAAACCACGCCGCTCACCAGCTGCACAAAGGGGTTGGACTGGTCCAGGACATCCTCCTCGGACAGGTAGCTGGGAACAGAGGGCACCAGGGTTACCCACAGGCACTGCACACCATGGTAAAGCCTCTCCTGCTGCCAGCAGGCTCCTGAAGCAGGGAGGAGGGCAGGAAAAGGCAGAGTGAAGGACAGTCCCATCCTAAACCAGGGGCCAAGCAGTGTGAAACAGCACTTGAGCAGCCAGAGCAGCCCCTGCTCTCTGCTCTTGTGCACAGAGCCACAGCTAACCATGGTCCCAGGCCACTGTGCCTCAAACAATGGGGCCAGCAATGGCAGCAGTGTGGCCAGTGGATCTGAGGCAGGGGAATGAGCAGAAAGCATCTGGCAGAACACAAGGACAGAGCTGTGGAGATTCTCAGTTCAGTCAAAGAGAATTCTCCCAGGCTTCAGGCTTGGCAAACTTAGAGAGGAAGAATGAAAACAATTATTCTCTCTCTTTCTGTTCATGTTGTTTATAGATATGTACCTTCAGAGAGTGCTATTCATAGCTCCCCAATAGTGTGGAAGGTTTCTACTTTGAGACCAATCGGGTTTCACCTTAGTGATCTTGGTTATAAAAGGACACTACCTCTTAATAAAATCTCTCTTTTTTGCCTTCTGAACCATGGAGTCATTTCATCCATCCCTGACTCAGCAGCATCACAGAGCCACTGCCAAATACTCAGGGATCTGTGGCAGCAGCTGGAACATCTTGCTGCCTGTCAGCTTCTATTCTCCAAAAATGTGACATCAAACAGCTTTGGAGAGCATTTGGAGCTACAGCATCCAGCCTGCCTGCAGCTGCACTGGATGGCACCTGCTCCTTCCATCTGGGAAGGAGGTTCCCCTGCTCCTGAGACAGCAAAAGGGCAGTTCAGTGCCACCTCCGTGCTCAGGTGTTGTGTCACCACAGGGTGCTCCCCTAGGGATACTGCTCTCTCCTGAATTGGGTGATGGGGAACACCTGCCCCAGGGGAGCCTGGGCTGGGGGATGTTTGCGGCTGAGGGGATGAGAGCAGGGGCTGCACAGATGTGCTCTGCCAGAAGTTTTGGGTTTAAAGGTGACTTTTCTGATGTCCTGTGGGAGCTGGATGCTCAACTTTTGTTTGGTATCCATGGCTGTAGGCAAACAAAGCTTTGTGCTTTGTAGAAAAGTGTAATTGCAAACACCTGAATGGAAAACATGCCAAACAAATTCCCTTTTCCCATGGGAAAGGAACAAGACAACATGAACGTGGCTGAAAGTAGATCAAACTACAAAAGTTTGGGCAGGGACTGGCAGCTTCCAAAGCCTGGATTCACCCACTGTCAGCCCAGGGAGCAGCAGCTTTGCAGGGTGGGGTCAGTGCCCTGGGCTGTCCTGCTGGCCGTGATGCAGGGTGAGAGTGAAGGTGTGAACGACTTTCCCCACTGTCCCGACAGCCAAAATTACTTACACCCAAGCTATTTTTCTGATCATGGTTTGGAAGACACAAAGCCACCAAAGACCACGATAGCTCAATTTAACAGGGACATCCAGCTAGAGCTGGGGAGCAGCAGGGCAGAGCTGAGCTTAAGGACTCAAGAGTGACCCTGAAATTGTGGTCGAGTTGAGAAGCCCCCTCGCTGAAGGGACATGTCACTGACCCACCCAGCCCCTCTCACACATAAATCAAGGCCATGGTGCTCAGGGCTGCCAGAATGGCTGCAGGGTAAAGCCCTGGCTTGGCACATTCAGTGTGGCTTTGCAGGGATCCTTCCTGAGGTCTGGGACTGAGCTACCAGCAGGGTGGAGGATGCAAATTCCAAGCTGCTGCTGCGTCTTCTGAGAGCAGCAGAAGGGTCCTGGGAACCCTTCTGGGACTTTCAGGATCCTCCTGCTGCTGGGGAAGGGCAGCTCCTGGAAGCCTTGCACTCCAGGAGAGCAGTACAGTCTCTCAGTCAAATATTCCTCATCAGAGGGTGATCAGAACTTCTGTCTCCATCTGCCTGGGGAGGGTCACATGCCCAGGTAGGCAAGAAGGCCAGTGATGCCTGGCCTGGACCAGCCACAGTGTGGGCAGCAGGGCCAGGGCAGTGACCATGCCCTGTGCTGGCACTGCTGGGCACCTCCAGTCCTGGGCCCCTCATGACAGGAAGGACACTGAGGGGCTGGAGGGGTCCAGGGGAGGGAATGGAGCTGGGAAGGGGCTGGAGCACCAGGAGGAGATGAGGGAGCTGGAAAGGGGCTCAGTCTGCAGAAAAGGAGGCTCAGGGGGGACCTTGTGGCTCTGCACAGCTCCTGACAGGAGGGGACAGCTGGGTAAGGGTTGGGCTCTGCTCCCAGGGAACAGGGACAGGAGGAGAGGGAACAGCCTCAGGCTGGGCCAGGGGAGGGTCAGGTTGAACATGGGGAAAATTCCTTCATGGAAAGGGTGGTCAGGCACTGGGAGAGCTGCCCAGGGCAGTGGTGGAGTCTCCACCCTTAAAGTGTTCCAAAAAACTGTTAATACGGTCCGTCACAGGTTTGCCCAGAGAGGATGTGGAGTCTCCATCCTTGGAGATGTTCAAAATCCAACCAGACATGGCCCTGAGCAGCCCACTCCATCCAACCTGTGCTGAGCAGGGTGCTGGATGAGGCACCTCCTGAGGTCCCTTCCAAACCCAGCCAGAGCACACACACTGCACTCTGTGTCTCCTCTGCAGGAACACAGAGCCCTCTCCCCTTCTACCCCACCCAGTGTCCCCACTGCAAGCTGGGAGAGGAGACACTGGAACCCAAGCAGCTGGAGATCAGCACTTACTGAGCTTCTCTTCAGCCTAGGACATGAGCCAAGGGCCACAGAGGTATCTAGCTCCACCAGGTACAGCTAGAACATCCCTAGCTTCAGCATTCCAAGTGAGCTTCTGCTCTAACTGGGGAGGCCAAGGAGGCAGTGCTGGGATGAGCTTCCTGCCCAGTGACGCCTGAAAGTCCTCAGGCTAGAGAGCATTCTCTGAACACCTCCCAGCTCTTACCCGAACACCATGGTGCCATCTTTCCGGATGCCAAACTGAGCGTTTTGTAGGCCTCCCGAGTCTCTCACCAGCCTCCCATCGCTCACAACATTCCCGAGGCACTCTCCGGTTTCCATGTTGAAGTAGCCGCCGTTCTGGGCCACCAGACACTTCCTGAGCTTTGCAGTCTCCTCCACGGGGGCTCTGCGCTGAGCCCGGCAGCCGCCGGCGCCGCCCGGCTCCAGCACGGAGAAGGTGCTCAGGGGGTTCCTCACGAAGGTGAAGTGCCCGTAGATCACCTTGCGGTCGCTGCCCTCCGGGTGGATGTACGAGACAAACGTCCTGGTGACAGCCACCGGCCCGGCCGTGCTGTTGTCGCCGGGCCACGCTTCGTGGGTGACATTTCCGTACTTGACGGGCTGGCAGTCCCTGACGTGCCGGTGGCCGTGCCGAGGGCCGTGCTGCCCGGGCGGGTACGGCTGCAGCGAGGGCTCGCCGGGGCCGCTCCTGCAACGACAACACGCGGTTGCCCCAAGGCCGCGCAGGCAGGGTGGTGAGAGCGGCGCAGCTCGGGGTGGGCACGGCCTCGCTGACACCCAGGCCCGCTTCTCCCGCGTCCCCGCTGAGACCCGCCGCGGTTCAAGGGCGGCCGTCCCGCCTGGCACCCGCTCCACCGGCCCGACCTCAGGGCACCGGGAGCTGCCGGAGCCGGGCACAGCCGCGCCCCGGGACAGACGGTGCCCAGACACTCACCCGGCGCCGCGGGTCACCTGCAGCGAGCCGAGCACCGCCAACGCGGCCACCAGGACCGTCCCGACCCCCGCTCGCCCCGATCCCCGTCCCGGGGCCGGGCCCGCCCCGACCCCCGCCCGGCCGGGACCGCCAGCCGCGGCCCCCGCCGGCCCACACGCCGCCATCTTGGCGGGCGCTCGGAGCGCGGGCGCCGGCACCGCCCCCTAGCGGCTGCCGGGGCCGGGCGGGCGTCGGAGCGGGGCCGGGAGCGGGACAGCTCCCCCAGGGACACGGGACACGGGCCGGGAACCGGGACAGCTCCCGCAGGGACACGGGCGGGAACCGGGACAGCTCCCACAGGGCGGGAACCGGGGCGGCTCCCCCAGGGACACGGGCCGGGAACCGGGACAGCTCCCGCAGAGACACGGGACGGGAACCGGGACAGCTCCCACAGGGACACGGGCCGGGGCTGGGCAGAGACACGGGCCGGGGCTGGGACAGCACCCAGGGGGCGGGAACCGGGACAGCTCCCACAAGGACACGGGACGGGAACCGGGACAGCTCCCACAGGGACACGGGCCGGGGCTGGGGCAGCCCCCACAGGGCGGGAACCGGGACGGCTCCCACAGGGACACGAGCCAGGAACTGGGACCGGGACAGCTCCCACAGAAAGACGGGTGGGAACCGGGACAGCTCCCACAGGGACACGGGCGGGAACCGGGACAGCTCCCACAGAGAGACGGGCGGGAACCGGGACAGCTCCCACAGGGACACGAGCAGGGAGCCCGGGCTCTCTCTCCACAGCACCTCTGACCCTCACAGACAGCACAGCACCTACGGCCCTTCCAGCCTCTGCAGATCCATCACCCCTCTTGGAGGACTGAGACTCTGTCTGTTTTCCAGAAGGGAAAAATACCTACACTGAGGGAATGATGGTACATTGAAGCAGCTCTGGGTCATCCTGAATCTAACTTCAGTGAATCTAACTTACAGAATCATGGAATGTTTTGTGTTAGAAGGGACCTTAAAGCACAGCCCATCCCACCCCTGCCATGGCAGGGACACCTCCCACTGTCCCAGGCTGCTCCAAGCCCTGCCCAGCCTGGCCTTGGGCACTGCCAGGGATCCAGGGGCAGCCACAGCTGCTCTGGGCACCCTGTGCCAGGGCCTGCCCACCCTTACAGGGAACAATTCCTCATTCCCAATATCCCATCCAGCCCTGCCCTCTGGCAGTGTAAAGCCATTCCTCTTGTCCTATCACCACATTTTCTATCAGTGTTTCTACTGCTGGAGTGGAATTTAATGGGGTGATAGTGACACTCAGCCTGCTCAGAGAGAGGGCAGGCAGCAGCTTGGTTTACTCAGTGAGTAGTAATTATATCCATGTTTGCCCATAGTAGCAAAACTCTTCACTGAGGCATTCAAGGACTGAGGTATTCAAGAAGACAAATTCCTCCACTCTCAGCCTGTGGTTCACTTGCAGCAGTGGCTTTGCCCACCCCAGACATGCAGCAGGTTCTCCACAGGCCACATTCCCTCCTGGGGGGAATGGGGGCTCTTGGACACACAGCATTCCCCTTGGCTTATCACATTGCCAACGTCCCTCCCCAGCTCTCTTCAGGCCTTGATTCCATAAATGAGGTGGGACAAGGACAAGAACTGTGGTATTTGCTGGGTCCCCAGGATGAAGGAGGAATTGAGAATCTGACTTCATGTTCTGAGAAGGCTAATTTATTATTTTATGTACTTATATTATATTAAAGAATGCTATACTAAAACCTATACTAAAGGATACAAACAGAAGGCTTAACAAGAATGATGGTGAAAAACTCATGACTCTCCAGAGCCTCAACACAGCTGGCTGTGATTGGTCATTAAGTTAAAACAATTCACATGACACCAATCAAACAATGAGCAGTTGGTAAACAATCTCCAGACCACATTTCAAAGGAGCAAAACACAGGAGAAGCAATCAGATAATTATTGTTTTCATTCCTCTCTGAGGGTTCTCAGCTTCCCAGGAGAAGAAATCCTGGTGAAGGGATTTTTCCAGAAAAGATGACAGTGACAAGGAACCACCCCTGTGCCCTGGGGCTGTACTGCTGCAGGAGAGCCCAGGGCTTTCATAGCCAGTGGGTTATGCCTCAGCTTTCCCAGGATTAGCACACCTGGTTCAGATAATAAATGTGCTGCTGTCTCAGGTGTCTTGCAGGTGGAAAAATGGAGTTTTGTGTCACAAATTAACCAGAAAACTCCCTTAGGACAAGCCAGTGCATTACAAGATCTTAGCTAATGGGTTATTATGCCTCCAGTTTTATTCAGCCATGGAGAACTGCAGGTGTCCTGCTTGTGTTTCCAGCTGGAAACAAGCTGTCCAGTGGAACTCCACGGTGGCCTAAAGGTGGTTTTCATGGTCTGAACTCAGCTCTACATTAAGCATGAGTAGAGCTGCAAGTTTGTGCTTGGTCTTTTGCTCAAACAGCTTCACCTTTTCACAGAGACCTTCATGAACTAAGGGTTCCAGTGGGAGGCTTCCACCCACTTCCCAAACTCACCCAGTCCTTTCCAAGAGAAAAGATTACAAGAAGAGAAAAGATTACAAGGCTTACAAGAGAGCCTGGAATGACAACATGCAGTGTAGAATCCATGAGCCAAAAGCCACCTTTGGAAGTCCACAGGGAACAGAAACCTGTTCCAAATTGGAATGAAAAACAAAGCAGTACTTGAAAAAGGAAGTCTCTCCTTTCCATATAGTGCATTTGCTTTTCAATTACTTTCCTCTCTAAAACAGCTCCTTCCACCTAATTAATACTAAAGTGGAGTACAAGGGACTTGTTTTTCCAGAATTGCTCAGAGGAAAGGGTGGCATTGCCAGAATTCCAGTGTTTGTTTTGCAGTGACACATGATTTCCCCACAAATTGAGATAACCACCTGCTGTTAAAGATAACCAGTCTCCATTCCAGGTTGTGTCACAACCACAGTCATGTCCCAAAATGCAGGGTTTAAAGTACATGTGTGTGCAGAGGCTGAGAAAACACCTTGTGACCACATTGAGCTTTGGTATGAAGACACAACCCCAGCCCTAACTGAAATCTAAGTCAGGCTCCAAGTCAGAATATCTCTGCTTTGTCCACTCAGTGGAGGTCAGCAGTGGGTGTTTTTTTCTGTAATCAGAGTGAATATTATGAGAGGAATGTGCATGCTGATGTCTAGAGCTAATACTAATTCCAATTATACATTGGAATATAAGGCAGATATTCTTCTGTCTTGAGCCTGAAGTTCAGTCCAGCTCTGAAAATGTGGGCATGACCAAAATTAGGAAGTATTTTATTATTTTCCTGCAATCTGAAAATTTTGTGTTGTGAAAAAACTTACTAATTCGAATTTTCCTATGGCTGATAACCATACTGGCTTTGCTTTTCCTAATTATCTCCCTTCTTCCTCTTCTATGCCCTGGGAGGAATAAAAAATGTAATTCTATAACCAAAACCTGTACCTGTCTGAAAAGCTGTCAAAGCCAATACAAACCATTCAGGGGAAACTGTCTTTGGGAAGTTATATAAAAATTTCCTAGGTCACTTCTTTTACCTTCACTCCTTCCTTAGGGATTTTTTGGGTGAGGAGAAAATGAATAAAGCAGATAAAAAGCAGCTGGTGAGGTTAAAAGGCAGCACCTGCAAGAATGGTGCAGAGTTTGGAGTGTTTGAGGAAAAAAGAGTACTAAAAGTGGCTTTTCATGTAGTGGGTTGGAATGAGATGATCTTTAAGGTCCTTTGCAATCCAAACTCTTCATTGATTCTGTGATCCTGTGCCATTTTCCGTTTTGACAGGAAGGTTGGAAGGCTTGGTGAAAAGTTTATGGGAAACAGCTGACATTAGATGAGGTAAAGCAGGTGCTGAACAATAACATTAATTTAGTATTTTAGAGCATGGGGACTGTCCCTAAAGGAACATTAGGGCTAGTTCTCCCTTCAAACCCCTGAGGTTTTTCATCTCCAAGGCAAAGCCCAGGGGTGTCCCAGCAGCACCAGGCCTGGCTGTGGGCTCAGTGCTGGGACACCTGCAGTGGCACTTCAGACCACCTGGAACAGCTTCCAAATTGAGGCTGTTCTGCAGCCAGCTCCTTTCATCTCTGCTGTGGCGGGGGTTGTGCTTTAGAAATGGAGCAAAAAGAGAACAAACACGAGAAGCAAATTGCCTTGCTGTTAAAAACGGCCATAATTTATCCCTCATGATATAGCACAGTGCCAGTGCTCGCAGCCCTTTGGAGTCAGGGTGAGTTTGTGAGGATTGTGCCCCGCAGTACAGGTGTGATTGGTGCAAATACTTGTTACTGGGATAGTCCATGTTATTTTTTCAGTGCAAATAAATAAATAAATTTTTTTTAAAAAGTGGGTTTTAAAAGGTTGCAACTTCATAGATCATGTGGCTGCTATATGAGTAACCAGAGTAGCAGCAGGCTGTCATGAGATTTGCTTGAGACATTTGAATTGGAGATTTCTGGGATGAGAGAAGATCCATTTGTGAGAGGCATTTTGGCTGCTCTGTCTCTGTTTATTGCACTCACAGCAGTCCATTGAGGCAGGGGGACTGTGCATGGAGCTTAAACAGACTATTTCTAGGGTAAGTGCAAACAGCATTTCCAAACTTTCTGAAATGGTCAGGAAAAAGAGACAGGAAAAGGCTGTTGTAAAAGAGAACTGCTATTCAATACACATGAAAAATTCTCCAGGCAGAGATCAGTAGTGTCTGAAAATGCATTTCTCTCAAGTGTATCCCTGTTCTCAGAGTCTCAGCCAGAAGTGATGACTGCACCTTATTTATCTTTCTCCAGCTAAGTGCTCTGAAGATGACATAGGTCAAGAGGACTTTTATTGCAACTCTACCTTCATAAACCAAAAGTCACTGCATCCCTAAAGCTGAAACACTTGTAATTTTAAGTACTTTGGTAACCTGCCAGAAAATACAGCTGTATGGAGTTGGAGTGTTATACCTGATAGCCTGCAAGAATCCATCAGTCCCTCATTCCATTGCAGCCGGCATATTTGCACTTGACTCAAGGAAGTAAACAGAAAAGCAATTTGCATTTTGCATTAAAATGGTACAAGCAAGGAGCTGTCAGGTGAGATAGGAGGGACTCCCGCAAGATCAGACCTCCTACAGGTTGGAATGGATGTGTGTAACAGCAGGAGGGGGTGTGGGGCTTTTCTTGAGGAAACCTTGGCTCCCTAGGGAATGGGCACAGCCCCGAGGCTGCCAGAGCTCCAGGGGTGTTTGGACAGCGCTGCCAGGGATGCTCAGGGTGGGATTGTTGGGGTGTCTGTGCAGGGCCAGGAGCTGGACTGGATGATTCCTTTGGGTCCCTTCCCACTCAGAAGATTCTGTGATTCCATGTTTTGTCAGTAGAAAAATATGCATTCCAAGCAGAATCTTTGAACAAACATTGCAGGCTTTATTTTGCTGTGGAACCAGTCTGCCCACACTTGTAATTAGTTATATGTTTTAAAAGGGAGCAGTGGTTTCATTGTTACTGCCTACTTGCTGTTTGGCAATATGGAGAGTTACTCTGGAAATGCAACATCTGACATCTGCCTTTGTCAAAGGGGGAAAGAAACCCTGGGACAGTGGGATACTATTCAGATGGGGAGCCACAAGGTCTGCAGAGGGAATCCTGGAATGGTGACATTTCCTGGTTGGGAAGAGTCTCACAGGGATCATCCAGCCCAGCCCCTGGCCCTGCACAGACACCCCAACAATCCCACCCTGGGCATCCCTGGCAGCGCTGTCCAAACACTCCTGGAGCTCTGGCAGCCTCGGGGCTGTGCCCATTCCCTGGGGAGCCTGGGCAGTGCCAGTACCCTCTGGGGGAAGAACCTTTCCTGATCTCCAACCTAAACCTGCCCTGGCACAGCTTCAGCCAGTCCTATCTCTGGTCACCAACATGTTTGTGTCTTTATCCCTGTTTGTAGTGAAGAAATATCATTTGCTCTCTGCATTGTGTGACAATCCTATTGGATTCTTGGCCTGTCACCATCATATTTTCTGGAAAAATCCCCTTGCCCATGATTCTTCTCCTGGGAAGCTGAAAAGCCTCAGAGAAAAAGGAAAACAATATAATCTAATTTGTTTCTCCTATGTTTTGCTGTGTGGTTTGGACATTGTTTACCAACAGGTGATAATTCATTGGTTTCATGTGACTTGTTTTTACTTAATGACCAATCACCGTCCAGCTGTGTCAGGGTTCTGGCAAGTCACAAGTTTTTCATTATTATCTTTTAGCCTTCTGTCTGTATCCCTTCTCTATTCTTTAGTATTCTTTAGTATAGCATTCTTTAATATAATATAGATTATAAAATAATAAATTAGCCTTCTAAGAACATGGAGTCAGATTCACCATGTCCTCCCTTTGACAGGGACCTCAGGAAATACCACACTTGGCCAGTACAACTGAACTCAGTTTTAAACTTTTGTTCAACTTAATGATTTCTTCAACGTGTTGTTCAGTCACTTCCATGGTGCCAAGGTAATGTGGCAAATGCTTCTCTTGGCAAGCTTCTGTTTGTTCTGTATTTCCATCAGAAAACAGGGATCAGCAAACTGAAAACAGATGGAAATTGTTTATTAGGTACACATATGAGAAACCAGTGGGATGCAGATGTTGAAAGGATTTAGTACCTGGTAGGATCAGGGATTGAGACAAAAAGTGAGGGATACCACAGAAACATGTGGAGTATTAACTCAGATCCAGAGAAGGGCTGGTTAGAGTTTAGCTGAATTCAAAATAAGGAAAAGCGCATGCATTGGTTGATAATGGGACTGCACCGAAATGACCCCTGACTTCGAGATGCTCTAAAATGTCCGAGGAAACCCCACACTGCGGACGAGTGTCCAGTGCCGCTGTAATTAATTAAGCCCCGTCTATGCTGTAATTAATGAAGCATTCGCTCGGTAATTAATGAAGCATTCTCTCGGTAATTAAAGCATTCTCTCGGTAATTGCCGGTGCCGCGGCCCGCCCGGCTCCCCTCAGAGCGGCACCTCCGCTCCGCCAGGGGGCGCTGGCGGCGCGCCCTTCCCGCCCTGGGCGCTCCAAGATGGCGGCAGCGGGGCCGTGGCCGGCCCTGTGGGCCGTGGTGGCGGCTCTGCTGTTCCTGCTGCTCTGGCGGCGGCAGCGGGCGGGCGGCGGGGGCCGGGTGTGCGTGGCCGTGCTGGGGGACGTGGGCCGCAGCCCGCGGATGCAGTACCACGCCTTGGCGCTGGCCCGGCACGGGCGCGAGGTCGCTCTGCTGGGGTACCTCCGTGAGTGAGGGGCGGCCGGGGCCGAGGGGCGGGCGGGGCGGCCGCGCCGCTGACCGGGCTCTCCCCCCGCACAGAGCCGGCGGCTGACCGGGCTCTCCCCCCCACAGAGCCGGCCGCTGACCGGGCTCTCCCCCCGCAGAGAGCCGGCGGCTGACCGGGCTCTCCCCCCGCACAGAGCCGGCGGCTGACCGGGCTCTCCCCCCGCACAGAGCCGGCCGCTGACCGGGCTCTCCCTCCGCAGAGAGCCGGCCGCACCGGGACGTGCTGCGCTCCGAGAACATCCGGCTGGTGCCCGTGGCGGAGCTGAGCGGGCTGCGAGGTGCGTGAGGGCCGGGGAGCCGGGGCTGCGGGGGAACGGGGGAGCGTAAAGAGCCCACAGCGTGTACGGGTCCAGCCCCGCCGCACGCCCGGCTCCCACCCTGCTCTGCCTTTCTCTTTAAACAGGAGCCGCTGGAGTTAAACACTGCCGGTACATTGGTGCTGTTCACGTGCACAGTGAAATGGGGAAATGATTTTCATTCTAGTTCTTTCTCCCCCACCTTGTGCTTACCCCTGTTGCTCAGAGCAGCTGTGGCTGCCCCTGGATCCCTGGCAGTGCCCAAGGCCGGGCTGGGCAGGGCTTGGAGCAGCCTGGGACAGTGGAAGGGGGTGGGATGAGATGAGCCTTAAGGTCCTTTCCAACCCAAACCATTTAACGAGTGTAGGATTTCATTCTACCAAATACAGAATGAGAATTTGTAGGGATCACGAGATGTTTACGTGGCATTATAGCGATCATAAAATAAAATTACAAAGGTTGGAAAAGCCCTCTAAGAACATTGAGTTCAGCCATTCTCCCAGCACTGCCAAGGCCATCTCTGACTCATGTCCCCAAGTGCCACATCCACGTCTTTAAACCCCTACAAGGATGGGGACCCCACCACTGCCCTGCGCAGCTGTGCCCATGCCTGACCACCCTTTCCATGAAGAAATGTTTCCAATATCCAACCTAAACCTCACCTTGCACAGTCTGGGGCCATTTCCCCTTGTCCTGTCCCTGTTTCCTGGGAGCAGAGCCCGACCCCTCAGCTGTCCCCTCCTGTCAGGAGCTGTGCAGAGCCACAAGGTCCCCTCTGAGCCTCCTTTTCTCCAGGCTCAGCCCCTTTCCCAGCTCCCTCAGCCCCTCCTGGTGCTCCAGCCCCTTCCCAGCTCTGTTCCCTCCCCTGGACACCCTCCAGCCCCTCAGTGTCTGCCTTGGAGTGATCCAGCGTGTCCAGATCCCTCTGCAGAGCCTTCCCACCCTCCAGCACATGGACACTCTCACCCAGCTTGGTGCCATCTCCAAATTTGCTGAGGGTGCACCAATCACTTACCCAGGTCATTGGTAAAGTGTTTCCATTTTCATATTATTCTGCCCCTGTCTCTGCAGAGCTGGCTGGTTCTGATGTTCACATTTCTGTGGGGAGAGCTGTAATTCTCTTACCTGTTTTTCTGTCACTTGCAGTGGGGCCAAAGCTTTTGCAGTATGTCCTGAAGGTGCTCGTGCAGTCAGTGCAGTTACTGTACACATTGCTGAGGATGGATCAGCCATCCTATATTCTCCTCCAGGTATGTTTTGTGTTGGGACTAATTTCAGTACAAATAAATGGTGCTACATTACAGGGTGCTTTTAGCCATCTCAGACGTTGCTGTAATTATTTCAGAGCTGAGCTGGCCTCATCAGTGGTGTTAACCTGTATGCAGGTACTTTTTGGCTCTAAACTTTGATTTGTTAACAAGTCAAGTTTTCTCTTCCTGTTAGTTGTTGTTAGCTTTCAAACTTCATTGCCATGGGTAGCAGTAAAGAATAAATCTTACTGGAAACGTTGGTGTGTTTATTGGAGGGGAATTTTGATCTTGATCCAGGGTTAAATTTGAAATACCGGCCAGTGTTCATAAATGAATACAAACAGTCTCTGTTCATGAAGCTCCTTTAAGGTGATGCAACTTCAATTTGATTTTTGCTTCTGGTATTTGCTTTGTGTTTGTCACTTGGTCACACCTGATGCTATTTTGGTTTTGTTTTTGAGCAGAATCCCCCAGGCTTACCCAGTATAGCTGTTGCCTGGGTGGCAGGGCTGTGGTGGGGGAGCAAACTCATCATAGATTGGCACAACTATGGGTACAGCATCATGAGCCTGAGTCACGGGAGGAGCCACCCACTGGTCCTGGTTGCAAAATGGTTTGTGCACTCATTTCTGCTCTCTATAAATGATGTGCCTTGGTGAATTCAGAATGGAGGCCAGTGGAGAGGATGTAACTGGCACAGGGAGGGGTTTCTGGCCTTTGCTGTGTGGTTTCTGTGCTGCAGCTGCTTTGTTGAACACGTGGGAGGGAGTTGCAGGAATTGGGCAGGTTGCTTTTACCTACCTATGCAAATGTTGATCTTGTTATTGGAATTTCTTTATATGTCCTGGGTTTTTTATTCTCTAATGCTGCCTTACACTCCAGCTCTTCTTTGAGCAGCTCCTTGCTGAATAGAATTGGTTTTGTGTAGTTAAAGGCTTTAAAGGCTTTGGAGAACAGGAGTCCATCAACAATTGGCAACTAGATTTCAGTTCTGAGGGCAGTTGGGTTTCTTTGGGTTTTGTTTGGCTTTCACCAAGCATGGGCACTGGGAGCAGTTGCTGCAATTGCCTGCCTGTGGTTGCTGACTGATATTTCATTTCTGTCAGGTATGAAAAGCTTTTTGGGCGCTTGTCTGACTATAACCTGTGTGTCACTGATGCCATGAAGAAAGATCTCTGGGTGAATTTCAAGATAAAGTAAGTCATGTGCCTCAATTGAGTGTGTGTGTGCTAAGTGAATGACAGAACAGATCCCTGAGGATTCAGAGGGATCTTACAAAAGCAGCTCTCCTGAGCTCACCCATCACCACTGAAACACATCAGCTCAGTTTTGTGATGGGCCAGTGTGGTGTGACCATTCAGGAATCTTCATCATCCTTCTGAGCTGACACATCCCAGTGCCTGGGGTGGCAGTCCAGGAGCCAGGGCAGTTCGCTGCAGGCTGCCTGTGCAGCCAGACAGGGACAGGTGTCACTGGGGTTTGAGCAATTACTCTGGCCTGCCAGCTTATCTTGAGGGCTTCAAGATCAGGGGCAGTTAAGGAATAAGTTTAAAATTCAGGACAGTGATGTCTGCAGTTCTTACAGGTGCATTTCACCCCTAGAATAAGCACACAAGAAAGGGGTTCTTTGTTACTTGTGCCCACCTTGGTGTGTTCCAATAAACTTCAGGAATACAGGAAGTTATAAGAGTCAAAAAATGAATTACTTTGCTGTATAATTAATTTTTTTCGTTAATTTTTTAGTTTTCGTTAATTTTTTTTCTGATTACATTGTTGCAGCCTGCCACTGTACCATGTGCATGTTGTTACATCTGTATCTTATTTAAGCTGCACTTCTTTCCTCCCAGGGCTGTAACATTGTATGACAGACCAGCCTCTTATTTTAAGGAAACACCATTGGACCTCCAACACAACTTGTTCATGAAACTTGCCAAGGACTACGAGCCCTTCAGACCACGGTACGTGCAAGTGCAGCTGCCCCTGCATCCTTCCCCAGGGCACATGGAGCTGTGGCACTGCACTTACCAAAATCCTTGTGTGGGGTATTCTGACCCCAGCAGGCACAGGGGGCACTGGGCTGCCTCAGTGTCATCATAGAGCACAACAGCACAAAGCATGAGTCCATCAGAAGGGTGCAAGAGAGATTTATTACAGCAACATGTTGCTTTTATACTCTTGCAAGATATTTACAGTCACTTAACATGCACATTCACTGCCCATTGGTTATAGGAAAGAAGCAAAGTTCTGTCATTCTGTGAGCCAGCTGGAGTCTGTATCTCTTTACTTTCTCTCCTTCATCACATCTCCATGGTGACAACCTTGGTGTCTTCCTCAGGAGAGATATGGGGCTTTATCATCAGGAGGCCCTTGCTGGCTCACAAGAACAGCACAGAATGTCTCTCCTGCACCTTAGCTGTCACTAGAGAGGCCAGCAGAAATGAGATGGTTGAGCTGTGGTGACACAGGTAGTGAGATGGTTGAGCTGTGGTGACACAGGTAATGAGATGACTGAGCTGTGGTGACACAGGTGGTGAGATGGTTGAGCTGTGGTGACACAGGTAGTGAGATGGTTGAGCTGTGGTGACACAGGTGGTGAGATGATTGAGCTGTGGTGACACAGGTGGTGAGATGACTGAGCTGTGGTGACACAGGTGGTGAGATGACTGAGCTGTGGTGACACAGGTAATGAGATGGTTGAGCTGTGGTGACACAAGTGGTGAGATGGTTGAGCTGTGGTGACACAGGTGGTGAGATGGTCGAGCTGTGGTGACACAGGTGGTGAGATAGATGGTTGAGCTGTGGTGACACAGGTAATGAGATGTTCGAGCTGTGGTGACACAGGTAGTAGAAGTGTTTTGTTCCTAAAGCAGTTGGCACCAGCACTCAGGCACTGTGCTGAGTGTCTGGGCTGGAGCTCTGCCTCCCACTGACCCCACTGCAGAGCTTGGATGCTTCCTTAATAGCATCCCTTCCTTAATTACTGTGCACAGCCTTCAGGATTTGGTCCAAGGGTTAAACACTTTCCTCTGGCAGTGCAGGATGTCACCTGCAGCAGATGTACCAGGGAGCTGACTTCACCACACTAAAGCCTGAAAAGCAGTGAAATCACAGTGCATGGTGGGGATTTTTTGGAAATGCCCAGCTCAGAATATGCAGGTTTGTCACTATAGGACACGAAACAACACGAGCACACACTGCTGCTCTCAAGGTGAAAAAAGGGAAGTTTCTTTTCTGATTCCAGCATTTATAGATTTCCAAACGTGCCAGTGGATTGGAGGGTGAAAGTGCTGCCTCTGCAATAACACTGGACAAACTAACAGTCTATCAAATTTCTCTTCCTCTATAAAAGAATGCAAAACAATAAGTTATTTACAGAAAGTGTGTGAGCAAGTTCCTTACAGGAATGTAAACATCAAAAAGCTTAGAAAATCTTAAAAAATCAAAGCAACATAGGTTCTGAGTTTAGTTGAGTAAATGTGCTGTTGGGCTCCATGCTGTGGTAAGTGTGAGACGGATTGTGGAAAGGGAGGCTGACTCTGCTCGACTTGTGAAGGGAAACATTTGGCTGGAAAGTGGAATTGTGCCTGTAGCAGCAGGGAAGAGGGAGAAATGGCCTGTCCTGTCCTGGTATTTCTGTCGTGTAATGATTCTGTTTCTAGACACGTTGAGCAGCCGATCTGAAGGCAGATGTGTGGGAGTGGGGCCGGTCAGCAGAGCGCTCCCTGCTGTCGCTGGCCGTGCGCAGCTCGTGCTCAGCCTGTTGTGTTTCCGTAGTACAGAGCTGCGAGTCCCGCTGCTGACAGATCGGCCTTCACCCAGAGGGATGGCAGCGCTGGCAGCGTGCGCAAGGCCGGGGGCCGGCCTGCCCTTCTCGTCAGCAGCACCAGCTGGACAGGTTGGGAATCGCTTCTATTTTCCATGTCAAATAGGGTCTTGGTGCTTCCTCACACTTGAAGTTGTGTTTGTCCTTTGTTTTCCTGGGAGAATTTGAAGACGAGGTGTGTATGATGCAACAAAATTTTGTGTAACTTAAATAATACTACAAATGAATGATGTTTTTTGAAGTTGAATTTTAATTATAGAGCTCAACTTTAAGAATAATTAAAAGAGGTTTCTTGCATGTTGTATGTTGTAAAACAAATTGAGAAACTCAAATATTTACTGAGAGCACCCTGCACCCTGAAGGTGCCTCTGCCCATGGCAGGGGGCTGGGATGAGCTGAGCTTTAAGGTCCAATCCAACCCAAAGCAATTTGTGATTCCATGATTTCTGATGATGTTTATTACATAATTAGGTACATTTTTTCCCTCTGAATGAGGAAGGGAACAAAGACTGGAAACAAATCCATTGCCAGTGACCATGGCCAGGATTGTCTTTATCTTTGAACAATCAGGGCAGTTTTTACACTTAATTCTCAGCTTTAGAAACTAGAAAATTTTAACTTGATAGCTTCAAAGATGTAAAGTATTTGTAACTGGTTTATCTGTCATGTTGCCCACAAGGGAGATAAATAAACACTGTGTATGGTTATGGACTTTTATTTATGAAAATAAACTAGGGGATTTTTTAAATAAACTATTTACTAAAACGTTTAGTAAATTTTAGTAAATAGTAAAATTTTAGTAAATAGTAACCTTTAAGTACAAATGTACTTAACCTTTGAGTACATGGTATGTGTTTAAATTGTGTAGGTGAAGGTGAGGAAAATCTCAATTGTTATTTAAAGTAAAAAAATTTAAATGGTAGAAATATGAATGTTACTAATAAAACCTTCTCTTTCAGAGGATGAAGACTTCTCAGTCCTTTTAAGAGCTTTAGAAGGTTGGTATGAAGGAATTGGTATCACTCTTTCAAAGAGGTCTTCTGGACACCTAAGAAGGGTTTTGCTAAAGAGCAATGCTTCTATGTTCAGGTGAAAATGCAATTGTATTTGATTAATTAGCACTAATTTCAGATCAGTAATTGAAATACAGCAGTGCAACATCTAAATTCAATTAGAGGAGTTGTCAGGGAGAGTTAAATCTCCAACTGGCTCCTAAACTGCAGTTTTATTTTCTGAGCTATTACATCTACTCTCCACAGGTATCTGCTAATGGGAAGGGAGGGAATACTTTGTCTTATCTTGTAGACCTTGCAGCTGCAATTCTAAATTGATCTATTGAAGCAACTGATTGGGGAGCAGTTGAAGAAATGCTTCATGCATAAACAGCCTGATTTATTTCTGGAGGAGTCTGTAAATGTTAACATTTCTGGATTTACTGCTGTGTTACTCATGCTTGTAAGGAAATTGCTTGTAGTGGGACGCTCAGGAATTAATGCATTGTCACCACTCTTCAACCAAGCCCCCTGAAATTTGTCAGCTCTGACCAGTTTTTATCTTCTCCAGATTATGAGAGGTTTATTGAGGAGGGAGCTGAGCTTCCAGCTTTGGTGTGTGTGATAACAGGTGAGAATGTTTGTCTTACAATTCTTCCAGTGCCAACAGAAGGTTTAGTTTTGTTCTGGGCTGACTCTTCTGTTGCTGGTGGGAGGGAGGAGGGACTGTTGCCTTTGTGTCTGGTTATCAGGACAGTGATTTCTAGCTGAGTTATTGCACCATCCACCAATTATGGCACATCCTTAAAGAGCCTCCCTGTCTGCTCCAGCTCTGCATGAGAAACACTCTAAGGCCAATGTTGAGATGATGCTGCAAAGGCAATGTCAGGGGAAGCAGCCTGAGCTGTGCCAGGGGAGGCTTAGACTGGATATTGGCAGAATTCCTTCCTGGGAAGGGTGGGCAGGACTGGCACAGCTGCCCAGGGCAGTGGTGGAGTGCCCATCCCCGGGGCAATTGAAAGCCCTGTGGGTGTGGGTCAGTGTTGGCCCTGGCAGTGCTGGGGAACAGTTGGGCTTGATCTGAGAGGCCTTTTCCAACCTTAAAAACTCCATGATTCTACATTGATGGGAACCTAATTGAAATACTGAGTAAGAGAAGTCCATGTGCACATTCCTTTCAAGGAAACTTAAGATTTTTCATATCTTTTTAGGGTATCACAAGTGTTGTATCCTGTTTGTGCACCTGATCCAACAGCAGCTTGCATTTCACTGTTTTCAGTCATCTTGATAAAACCTTTTCTGTTTTACACAGGTAAAGGACCTCTGAAAGATTATTACAATGGGCTGATCCAAAAGCTGCACTTGAAGCATATCCAGATCTGTACTCCATGGCTGGAGGCTGAGGATTACCCTCTTCTGCTTGGTAAACAGTGGGGGATGGAAAAGGCTTGAGCATGTGTGGGAAACAGCTCAGCACAGTTGCAGGGGCTGATGCAGACTGGGAGAAAATAGTCAGGAATGTTTCTGGTTAGTGACAGGATATTCATGGATTTGACTCATTCCAGCAAAGAATTGTTGGAAATTCCTCTGGCTGGCTTTTCCCTGCTTTCCCAAGTAGTAGCTGTGGTGTTTCAGCCTGTTCTTGGCACTCTTTGTTTCTTCCAGCTGTGCTGAAATACAGGTGCCTGTTCTACTTTACCTTCAGGGTCAGTCCAGTAAATGAAATGAAAATGTTGTTGGCTGAGCAACCAAAAGTAGCTGAAATTCTAAATTAACATGTCATTGGAATGTTACTCCCTCAGCATCTTCATTGCAACAGCATAAAGGGGGAGTAATAGAGTTATAAATATATATTCAATGTGATCTTCTTTCTGCAGGGTTAGAGCCTGACAATTTTTGTGGCTGTAAAACACTGTTTATTTGGTCCTTTTTAAATAATGAACAAAATGTCTGTAAAATCAGACTGCAGTTCCTGTGTTTGAGCTGACTTCAGCTGGGAGAGGTCACTAGTGAGGTCACATACTGATGGGGTTGTGATGGGGTTTTCCTTTACTTACCCATTTTTAGCAGATTAAGAGGCAGAAAGGCTGTTTTAAGATACAGAAAACTTCAAAATCCCCTTTAATTTAACATGCACCCACTTACTAGTTTTCTAAAACATAACTAATTTTGAGCCCCAAATCACCCTGTGCTTTATTTTTTTCCCTGATTGCTTGAAATTGTGTCTGGGTAGTTGAAGGTTTCACTTGCTCCATCCAAAGCAGCAGGAGAATGAAGGTTTGCAGGAGGACAGAGGATCTGCTTGCAGAGAGTTCAGACTGTGTTGTGTTGGATTTCAGGCTCAGCAGACCTGGGGGTGTGTCTCCATAAATCCTCCAGTGGTTTGGATTTGCCCATGAAGGTGGTGGATATGTTTGGCTGCTGTTTACCTGTGTGTGCAATACATTTTGAATGGTAAGAGCTTATTCTGTTCCAGCTCAAGGCAATCACATCAAACAATATTCTTACAAAGCCAGAGTTCAGCAGCTACTGCAGGAATTCAATGAGATTCCTGTATTTTGGCATTTTAAAAATTAAATAAGATAGAAATCAAGGTTGGTTTAAGTTTAAAAGTTAATACTAGTTTCTAAAAAATTGGGAGCATTTAATGCAAGCACTTGCCTTTAAAAAAGTCCCTGTATTCCATTTTTTCCATATATTTAATTTTAAAAGAATCTTTCTTCTGCATAGACACACCTGTTCAGTGAAAGACTGAGTGTATGCATGGGCATTTCTGGAATTGATGGTCCTTGGGAAAACAGTAGCTTTACAAAAGAAGATAAATTCCTGTGAAAATTTCATGATGGATCATGGACAGATTTTCCTTGTGGAAAATAATCCAGTTTTAAAGTAGATAATTGCCCTGGTTTTTAATGGATGTCCAGATGAGTGGCACAAAGACAGAATGAGGGCCCTTTGGTACAGTTGTGGTAGGTTTGGTCTGACATAGAAAGGAGAAGTCTTTAACTGTTTAACACTGCCTGTTTATGATGTCAGGTGTGGGGCCATAATGTACAGATACCCTGGTCTGGTCCTTTGGATGTCACTGTGCAAATGTCCCACTCATTGCTTTTTGCCTCTCTCTCCTTTTGTGGCTTTTTTCACAGTTTACATGAGCTGGTGAAGCACAATGAGAATGGGCTGATATTCAGGGACTCACAGGAACTTGCAAAGCAGCTGAAGGTAAAGGCTCTGATTGATTTCTTTCCCCCAGAAATAACCCCAGAGGTGCCACTGTGTGAGCAGCCCTTTCAGATCTAATATCACCTGTGTGTTTTGCATTCTCACAAGGCACTGCCTGGCCTGGTGAGCATTGTTTGCCTCACTTCTGTGTGAATGTGAACCTGAAGCTGGCAAAAGCATTTCAAACTCTGTCCTTGTTCTCTCTTCATGGGGCCAGACCCCAGAACTGCAGCTGTAGTTGAGGGTTAACACTGGGGAGGCTGGAATGAGCCTGAAATGAAACATGATAGTTATTTTTCTGTGGTTTTGTTTGTTAAATTACAGATGCTTTTCTTGGATTTCCCCAGCCTGGAAGGAAAACTTGCCAGCTTCCGAGAGAACCTGCGCGAGTCGCGGCAGCTGCGCTGGGACCAGAGCTGGGACCAGACTGTCCTTCCCTTGCTGGGCAGCAGGGAGTGACTGGGGCAGGGGGTGTCAGACACATTCCTGCAGCTGCAGGGGTCTGGGAAACAGTGAATAAAGATTTTGTATTGTCTGCACTTAGAGTTCCTAATCCTTTTCTTGGCTCTCACACTCCTCCTTTACAGTTTCAGCTTCCTGGGTGAGTAGGAGGTGCTGGAGGTGCTGAGCTGTTTGTTCTGTGAGAACCTGTGCTGCTTGAAGGGCCCTTTTTGGTGAAGATCCTTGAATACAGATAGAAACTATAGCAGCTTCACCTCCTGTACAGTCAGCACTTCAGTAGGTGATTTGGGTATGGTTTCTTTGGCACATGGCAGATGCTTTTCACTGGAGTTGTTTCATTTCAGCTGGTCAGTTCGATGGCCAGCAATTGCCCAAGCACTGAATCCTCCTGGGTGGATTTATTGGGACAGAACCATTTTGTTTCCAAGTTGTTTTTCCTTTTGACAATGTGTGCAATGTGGAAGCACAGCACAGGTGTGTGACAGCTTTACTGGACACTTAGAGCAAAGCAGAGCTTGCAGTGAGAGTTGTCCCTGTACTCTGAAATGAATGTCCCCATTTACCTTGGGAAAGAACTTAAAATTCCTCTCTTCTTGAACAGATGGACAGAAAAGGGAAAAATAAACCCAAAATACATGAACAAAGTATCTATAACTTAGTCAAAAGGCACTTTGCTTTGTGAGTGCTTACTCAGGTACAGCCTTCAGCTTTTTATTAAGCTCAGTATTCACATGCAAGCCTAATGCTTAAAAGGTTTTTTTCATCACCTTTTTGATGATAAAATAGATGTCAGTCATTGGTAAATGTACTTGGCTTGGACTGGTTTACTGCTCCTCAGAGCTCCTGCTTCAGGCTGGGAGGTGGGGACTGGGCTCTGCACCAGCAGTTTTAAACTCTGACTGAGCAGCTATTGAATATCTGCTTCTGTCAATAGAGAAAAGGTGAAAATAGGGTCAAGTTGCTTTACTGCAGGAATTTGGCAAAACTTCCAGCTTATGGATTGAAGAATGATCCATAAAGATTGATTTGCCAATTTTTTAGTGTTCTTTTCCTGTTTTCAGTCAAAATCCTGTTTAGAGGTTTGGCCATTCCTGTGCACATGGAGGTAAATTAGGCACTTCTCTAATTAAACAGTAATGGCAAAGGCTTTAGAGAGGTTTCCTCTTCATACAACAGAACTTTTTAGATCCAAAATGAGCTCTATACTGAACCTTTGTCTTGAATTTTGTATGAGGGGAGATAAAGGAGCTCCTGTGTGGGCTGCCAGTTTGTGTATACTCTGGAAATAAAACCTCTTGAGTTCTTTTTGGGGACAGGGAGCCAAAACCTGGGCTGGGGTTATTTCTGCTTGATCCCAGCAGTCATGGTCTCCTTAAGCTTGAAGAATAAGAAGATTCTTCAGGTCTCAAGTTAGGTATCATCAGTTTTCTATCCATTGCTACAGAAGGAGGAGGAGGTTGAAGTTTTTTTTCATTTCATTTTAAGTAGTTTTTAATACAGAGAAGGAAGCTAAAAGAGAAGAATGAGCATCACTTTGATGTTTGTGCTTCAGGACCAGTGCTGCCCAACACAACAGGGATGAATGGATGATCAGAGGGTTCAGAGCAGGGGAGCTCAGTCCTTCCTTTTTGCAGGATAGCTGGAACACTGCTATGGAGAGTGATTCCTTTTTCATTGCCAGCCCTGCCTGGATTCCCAGCAGCCACTGTGGAAGTGGCAGTCCTGTGAGAGAAAGGGCCATCAATTCTGACTTGTCACCACTGCAGAGTAAAGATGCACCTGAGTTACAGCAGAGTCATCCTGGGACACAACTACAGCTACTGGTCACTGTTTATTGGGGGTTTTTAAGCCAACCCAAACTGCAAGTATACACAGACATAAAGCACCAGAGTAGACTATTACAGCTGGTTTTAAAACCAAAACCCATTGATTACTGTGAAGCATTGCTTTGCTCCCTTGTCTGGGGAGATTCTCACCCTGTGATCCTGCAGGTTGCCTCCAATACTCACAAATCACAACACAGTTGGGAAAAATCCCTGCTTGAATTCTGCTGTCTTCTACAGAATCCAAGTGAAGTGTGATTGGGGCTTTTTGGTTTCTGTTGCTTGAAGTTCAGTCACTTCCTAGGCTTGGATCCATGCTGGGAATTAGAGGAAGGACTCCATGTGTCCATGTGTCCAGCTGTATCCTCAGAACCTCCTTTCCAGAATTCAGGATAATCTTGTTACAGGGCTGACAGAGCTCCTGTTGGTCTCAATATTCCAGTTCTGTTTCCAAGCCTATACAAATAGCTGTAGAATAGTTACATCTGGCTGCACATCATATAGAAAATTACAGCTGCTGTGGGCTGGAATCACCTGCCACCTGATCCCAGCTTTATCTGTGAAGAGAAACACTGGGAATCATATTTATGCCAATAAAATGAAGAGCAAAAGTTGCATGACAAGTTCTGTAAGAAGAGATCTTTAGCATGCTGTGATTGTCAGGCAAATGCTTAGGAGTGTTTTTGTAAAAATCCCATTAATGCCTCTGCTGAGCACTCAGTGTCACTTTGTGAATTAACCAGAATTCCACAGAATATCCTGAGCTGAAGGAACCCACAGGGATCATCAGGTCCAGGTGGTGAACACCAGCTGACACTGCAAAAGATAGGCTTTAGAAGTTTATATGAAGAAAAATCCCCAAATGTATTTTATTTAATCTCTAGGTGGGGGTTTTTGTCAAAACAGAAAAGGTGAAAATAGAGTCAGGTCAAGGAACAAGTAAGGTAAGATAAAGGGTTTAGGCTGCATCTCAGGTGTTATCACTGACAGTGCAGCACTGATGGCTCCCTCCTTTAAGCTTAAACCTCTTTTTACTTTCCTATTGGCACCAGATTACAAATCATCCCTCACAGATGTGAGCTGTGATAGCCAGGATGTACCCAAAGGTGAGCTCCAAGCTGATGAAATCCATGTGCAAAAGCTACTGCTCCTAAATCCAGCTCTAGGATAAGATCCTGCCCTTGGACAATGCTCCTGCTCCTCTCTACCACAGAACAAGTAATGGGGAAAGGCAAAAAGGCAGAACTATTGCACACTGGATGGAACAGGCACCCACCCAGCTCGGCCTGGAACAGCTGATACGTGTCTGGGTTTCGGATTGTGGAGGCAATGAACACCTCAGGAGCTTTCCTGTCTCCTCTGGAGGTGGAGAGTTTCTGTAGCATCCCAATGAGGGCTAAAATTATCTCAGGATCATACACCACATCTACAAAAAAAAAAAAGAAACATACAATATTTATTGAGAATTGAGCAAAAATCAGAATAAAAACTGCAAAGCAGAAATAAAATCTTCACAGTGTGGAGAATATTGACATTGTATGGGCTATGCCCCCATCACTAAAAATCAGTGCTCCTTTTAGTAAATGGATTGTCAGATATTTTATTTAAGCCCATCCTAAGGGAGGCAGCAGAACCACTGAGTGTTGGTGCTCTGCTCCCACTGCCCTTGGCAAAACAAACCTGCCTTGTTAGAAATGAGTGGTTTAGAGGCTGCTGCCAAGGACTTGCAGATGTTTTCATCTGGAGTCATTCCCTGGAGAGCAGAAATGGTGGTGAGAGGTCAGGGAACACCAAGGGGAGTAGAATGCTGATGTTCAGGGGGGGCTGTTTCCTACACAGAGGTGTGCAGGTGTGTGCTCCACTCCAGGTCCTTGTGCTGCAGTGAGTAACAGCAAACAGCAGAGAGATGTCAGTGCCCCTCAGCTCTTGCCTTCAGAGTGCAGCTGGGGCTGGTTTGGGCACTGAGCAGTGTCACTGCCATTAGGAACCATGCAGTGACTTCAGTTTATACAATTCCCATTCGCTGCATCCTGGGATACCTGGGATGCCAAAGTCATTTTTGCACCTGGATTCTCAGGTTTTTCTTTGCAAAGCTCCAAATCGGGGTGTAAGTCCTACAGCTGAGACATTCTGCTCTCACTGGGTATCACCACCATCATCCTACTGCCACTAGGTTCTCCATTACTGGATTCTTTATAAATCTCCCTCTGAATTTATACACAGACAAGTACAAATAAGTCTGGAGCTGGCTGTTGTTATTTGTTACTCCTCAGGAGGCTGCTGGGGCCCTGCCCAGCCCTGCTCCCTGTGGCTGCAGTACCTGCTGCAATGACAACGTCAGCTCTGAGAGCCAGCAGTTGTTTTTCTGTCACTGAGCCCCAGTCAAGCTCAGCCACCATCACTTTTGGGGGTTGGCAGCTCTGTCCTTCCCCCTCCTGCCCTTGGGACTCTGTTTGGGTGCTCCAGGTCACGTCAGGCTCTGGGGTGAGGCCGTTCAGCTGCAGGTTCTCCCCCAGCTGTTGGAGAACACGGGGGTGGCAGTCACTGAATATGAACGTCCTGGGCTGGCAGCTCTTGCAGATGGCAATTCCAGTGAAGCCAATCCCACTCCCCAATTCCAGGATTGTCCTGAGGGTAATGGAGTAAAAAGTACTATCAGGACTCTGCATTGAGTTAGAAATCAAAACATTCTAAATATAATTAAAGGTAAAATCAGTTCCAGATAATTACAATAATTTTTGAGTGAACTATCCACAATCTAACCTTTATGCAAAGCAGCTGGAGAGTTGGGAATAACTGAGGGTGGAATTGTCAGCATAAAATTAATTAGCTGAATGCTGATTTCTGTAAGGCACAAAGCATTCCCACCACAGGGAGGAGAGACATTCCCACCTGGCCTTGGCCATCTGCAGCACAGTTGTTTCCACCTGAGCTGGCTCTCCAGTTTTTAGTCAGTGGAGAGAAACAGACACTGAGCAGCACAGTTCCTTCTCCTGTGAGCTTAATTATTATTAAATTATCTTTCCTCAAAACTCCTTGCTCATCTTGACTGCTTATAAATAAATTGGAAATGATGTGATCAGAGCTGCACACTAATCTAACACAGATAATTCTTGGTGCATCTCATCATGAGGTGAAGGTCATTAGTGAAATTACTGAAAACTGAACAGCTGACCTCACAGAGCAGGTCAGACTGCACAGTGTAAAGGTTTGATCCCAAATCATGTCCTAAATCAGGTCCTCTCCTTGGTTAA